GGGAAGGTGTGTAAGTGTTAGTCGTGTGGGGATGCCCCCTCACGGGGGCGTACGTGTCTTTTGGTGTATTTGTCTGTCTGGTATATTGTTTGTCGGGGGTCGCAATTTTAAAGAAATGTATTCTAAAGTAATGCAAATAACTGATAAATAAGTAAAAACTTACCTGGGCATAACCCCGGCACAGGTGCTGTAACAAAGATGCCGACGGCGTCTATGCTTAAGCCGGGGATTAGGTCGGTGATTAAAAGGAAAGAAAGGGATTCTTTCCAGGTAGCCTTAATAAAGGCAGGTAGAATTTGCTCCTTGCACTACACTTTCACAAAACACGTGTGCTCTGGTCGGCTGCCCGCTAGGAACTGAGATAGAGGTCAGGCTCTGTGACGTTATCTATTGTTTTGGGTTATGTACTAAGCGGAGCCCGCAAAATTTGAATTTTACTTTATTGAAATTTATTATTGTAGTTAACATATTAACTGTTAATTTAACATGCTAATTACTGGCATATTAAATTAGCATTACTATTTCATATGCGAGAAATTATCATGTTGAATTAGCATTTAATATGTTAAATTCTACGGATGTCTAGTTAAGTTCCGAGCGAGCAGCCGAGCTGAGCAGACGTGTTTGTGAGGTGAAGTGCAGTGCAACGAGCAAGATCTACTTGCCTTTATTAAGCATAGAGGCCGTCGGCATCTTTGTTACAGGTACCTGTGTCGGGGTTATGCCCCGGCACAGGTACCCGGATAAGTTTTACTTATTTATCAGTTATTTGTATTACTTTAGAATACATTTCTTTAAAATTGCGACCCCCGAAAAACAATATACTAGACAGACAAATACACCAAAAGATTTCCCCACACGACTAACACACACATACCCACACGCACACGCGCACACACACACACACACACACAATCCGACCCAATCACTCCACTGAACTCCAAATCCTTCGCCTTACCGAGCACATCACCGCTGCCTTCAACAGGGGACAGTAGACTGGTGCTGCCTTGCTGGACGTCGCAAAAGCTTTCGATACGGTTTGGCATGACGGCCTACTGATGAAAATGCTCACCAACCAATATCCCATATCCTTTACCAAACTCATAAAATCCTACCTACCACCGAAAATTCCCCTTCCAAATCCAAAATTCCCTTTCCACCACCCGTCCCATGGAGGCCGGTGTCCCCCAGGGCACCGTCCTGTCCCCACACCTATACACCATTTAAAACTCCGACATCCCACATCCCCCCAACACCAACATATACTTATACGCCGACGACCTGACAATCACATCCCAATCCGTAGATCCTAGATATTCCGTCTACCTCCTCCAAAGCTCCTTAGACCAACTTGAAACCTGGTGCAACAGGTGGAAAGTCAAAATTAATCCCAACAAAAGTTCGGCTATCCTTTTTACCAAACGAAAAATCCCACAAAACCTCGACAGACTGACACTATCCCAGGAACCCATCTCCTGGAATCGACAAACACGATACCTGGGCGTGACGATGGACCAGCGTCTCACGTGGAAACCGCACATCGTGGAGACGGTGGCGCGAGCGAAGACCACCAGGGCTAGGCTCTATCCCTTACTCAAAGGTGGAAACACCCTCAGTTTAAGGAATAAGCGAACGCTTATCAAGGTGGTACTTCAACCGCAGCTAACCTACGCCTCCACGGCGTGGGGTCACGCGGCAAAAAGCCACTTAAAGTCATTACAGGCTGTGGAAAACATAGCCCTCCGCATGGCCACCGACGCGCCCTGGTACGTAAGAAACACTGACATATTACGAGACTTACAATACACAAACGCTACACAGACAATAAGACAAAACGCGGAGAAACGGTTTGACGTAGCCGCTAGACATGACAATCCCCTCCTCAGGCAAGCCGTTGACTACGTACCCGACGTGACCGACAAACACAAAAGACCTAGACACCAACTTTTTGACCCTGGGTGACCACCCCAACTACTCCCCCCCCCCTGCCCGCTAACCTTTTCTGTTTCAGAGACAGCCAGGATCAAGAAACGAAGACAACGACACACACACACACATACACACCCCCCATACCCTCCTTTCCCCTCCCCCTCCCGCGCTAGCCTAAGGGCCACCTTAGCAAAGCGCATCCCAGGCTGCATAGCCGCACTACCCTACCCAACCATACCACACATAATCATGACACCACCCCCGGGGTTTACACAGACGAGCCAGCGAAGCAAGAAGAGCGCCAGAAGAAAGGGCCCTAGCCGGCGGGGCCCAGCCAGGACTAAAGGAGGTCCCACAAAGCGCCTACACCGGCCGCATTTGCGGTCGGGGTAGACGACGGATGGGGCCCACCTACGAAAGCTGTCCAGGCCTACACGAGATGAGGCAGGATAATGAGGGATAATCCCCCTCGATCCCAAATCATTGAGGCCAATTTCTAGCAATGGAATAATGGCGCGCGCGTGGCGCGATGTTTGTTTACATGTTTACTTTGTTTACATACATGCATACATGGAGTCACATGGAGTTCCGGTTCGTTCTCCTCATGTAGTCTTCCTGCCCTAAACATTAGTATACTTGTATACTTGTAATCGGTTTTTGTCTTAATATTTTATTGTATCCTTTTTTAAATTATGTATGTATAAAGATAAACCAGGTTGGACAGTCTACAATTTGTTAGTGCAATCATTATAACCTATCTAATAGGTACAATTTGTTTATTTAAAGTAGATTTCTTTAAAAATGTTTACCACAAAAGCTTTTATAAAAAAGACGAAAATTGGAAATTTTTTAAAAGTAAGTATTGTTTGAAAATCGTTTTTAGCATATAATTTACATATAATTTTAGAATGTTAGAGAGCATTATATACGAGACGATATATCTTGCGGTTTCTCAGCTTGTGAGAGATGTATTCCGGTGGAGTCACATTTATCATCAGATCACCAAAATGAATGCTCATTGTTTAAATTTAATCATTATCTAATATTTGATACGAATGTTATTCTTGATCAGGTAATTTTTTAAAGCTGCAAAATGTGTATTTGTTTTAAAGTTTTAAACTTTTTCTAGATGGACGTTTTGGAAGAGGCGACTCTCGGGAATGTAATCATTTTACATACGGTTCTGAAGGAAGTTAAACATCGCAGTTTGCCAATGTATAAGCGACTGTATAGCATTATAGAGAATCCTAGTAGACATTTTTTTATTTTTACCAATGATCATCATAAGTGAGTTTCTTTTTATTTTCATATAATTCAGAAAATTTTTTGGAAGTCATTGGTTCTTAATTTTTCTTGAAAATTATCCAATGCAAATGGTAAATTATGATCTTGACGAGTTAATGCTGTTAGATTTGTGGTATCTTACTTAAAGACTATTCTGATTCTCTTTTCCCTCTTCACTTATTACATAACTAATAGATGTTCAGTGCTTTGAATTAATAACCACTTTTAGGTGATAACTACCTTAATGTATGGCATTAAACTGTGATATTTTTTAGAGACTAGAGGATAAAGATTTATTATAGGATTGTAGCTATAACTACATTTTTTCAGGGATACCTACTTACCAGAAGATGATGGTGAACTAATAAATGATTATAATGATAGATGTATTAGAAAAGCTTGTCTTTGGTACATGCAACATTTACCTAATCAGAAATTTGTCTTCCTTAGTGATGATGTGAAGAATAGAAATTTAGCAATAGAAGAAGGCATTTTTGCTTGTTCAAGTAATAAATAAAATTTCATAGCTTTTGATGGGAACTTTAAATAATGCTGTATTTTTAGTTTCAGAATATGTGAAACATTTAAGAAATTGTTCTGCTTTGGAAGATAAATTGTTGAGGAAAGATTTCCATATAGATAGCAATACAAAAGATGTTTTCCCACCTCATTTGACAACTGTTGAGCTTTTGACCGGGATAAAAGATGGACATTTACACCAGGGTACCTTTAGAGCATCTAGAGATAATTTTTTGGAAGGCTTTGTTAATGTGGATTCTTTTGATGATCCTGTAAGTATTTAAAAATTCTCTATCTAATTTCAGCAGTGTGAGTTTAATTTTCTAAACTTGCTCTAACAGTTATTCAGTACAGAGCAGATCAGAATTCTAAATTGTTATCTTAAAACTATATTTGTTACTTTGGACTTGTTTGTCAGATATTTTCACAAGAACTATATTTTCACAGAAAATTTTATAACAGTAAATCTTTTTTATTTGAGGTAATTGTGCAAGGACGTAAAGGTTTAAACAGAGCTGTGGATGGAGATGTTGTGGTTGTAGAAATATTTAAAGAAGAAGACTGGGTGTCGCCAAGTGAAATAGTCCTAGAAGATGAAGGAGAAGCAGAGGAAAATATCGATGAAGTTGAAATAAAAGAAAGAGAACTGAAACAGTCGACTCATACGAAAAAAGGTGAAATAAAACCAACTGGAAAGATTGTAGGTATTATTAGGAGGAAATGGAGACAGTATTGTGGGATTTTACAAGGTGGTATGGATGGCATATATCAATTATTTGTGCCAGCTGATAAATCTATACCAAAAATTAGAATAGAGACTAGGCAAGCTGATTTTCTGAGGACTCAAAAACTGATTGTTACAATTGATTCTTGGCCAAGACACTCCAGATATCCTCATGTAAGTAGTCATAGCTTATTAACTCTCGACAGCCATATATGTATATATTGACATCAACTAAATAGGGTTGTTGACTATAAAAACAAACCATATACAAATTGTTGTTGATACAAAGATTTTGTATAACAGAACCTGCCTGTATAGTAAAATTTTAAATATAAGACAAATTAGTGGTAGAAATCATTTATGAATTTTTGCGTTACTTAAAAACTAGTCTGACGTCATAAGAGGCAATTGAACAAGAAGCTAGTAGCGATCCTGTATAATTTTGAAGAAGAAAATATGTCAAAATTGTCCGTCAAACCCTATTGGCCTGTTTCCTGTTTTTTAAACAAAAGTAACATTAGTGACAGCAGTCCATCAATTAAGAGTATTTGTGATAGTTATTATTAGTTTCCTGATTGTAATGGATTCAACAAAATTTAAGTGGTGTTTTGTTGTGAATATTCCACATTCCACATAGCCAATTGTATTATCTCCATAAAACTCCCGAACTGCACTATAATTTTCCATAAATAAATAGGTATTTTATATAAATAAACACAATAAAATCATTCCTTAAATATGTTGATCCTTACCTGACTACTTTTATACCTCTGATTTCGCCAATTTTAAAATGGTCTCTTTTTAAAAAATCAATTCATGGTGATAAAAACATCAATTGTCGGTAAAATTTGCGAAGCAGCTTTCACAAATCTCGTTTCACACATTCTGCTTTAATTCTAAGTGGACCGAAATAATAATTTTACTTAATAAAGGAATTCGAAGATTAAGGAAAATAACTTGTAGGCTTGAAAATATTTTATGCGACAGTGTCACTGACGGACGGACACTACGATGACAGTGTTGACAGAGGGTCTTCTTCCTTCAATTTTTTTCCTTTCCGCAATCATTTACACATAATTTCACTACAAGGTGCCCCTTATGACGTCACAGCCATTTTGTAATATAAAAAAATCAGTTTTAAATAATTATTTTAAAACTGTCCTGCCACATTTCTCAATCTCTAATTGTGCATACACACTAGTTGATACGTGTAGAATTATATTATCTACTTTTTGAAATTTGGTCAACAACCCTATTCAGGAGCTCATAGAAGACAAACATACGAGGATTTCTTCCTATGATTTTAGCCACACCTTTTCCACAAAACAATACTTAAATTACTACTATACTTAAATTTTATACAGATTTTGAGGACGTTAATGTTCTTACAGGAAAAAAATGTTCAAAAAAATTCACACAATTGTTCCCAAAATCGTGAAAGGAACAGATTGTGTATCATTTGAAATTGATGTCGTGATTATTTTTACAATTGTGAACTTATTACCAACAAATTTTAGATTTTCTCAAGTTCTCAAACAATATAGTATGAAAATTTGATAAAATTTGTTCGTGTCAACAATCATGTGAAGTTTTGCGACCATGTTTTCTGTCACTAGTTTTTTTTATCAACTGCTAGTGGTCATTAGCTACGATCTTTCCCTGTGACATTTTGTGGCATGCTTTTTTCAGATTAACTTCTTTACAGAATATGTCATATTATAATGTAGAATTTCATTTTATAGTACTCTTTTTAAAATTGCTGAAAACGTACTGGTTTTGGTAAAAACGCAATTGACTGTCCCAAAGTCAACCAGCTGCTATTCTTTAATATGCAAGGGGTCCAGAAATGAATGGGTCATACTACAGGGATGAAAATAAAATGGTTTAAATCAAGTTATTGTCCATCAAAAAATTTTTCAATGTGTTTTAGTACTAACATAATTTTTTTATTTAAATCACATTACCTTGGTACAATCACTTTAGAATAATGTGATTGTAATGTCATTGTGCCAAGGTAATGTGATTTAAATTCATTTCATTTTAATCCAAGGAAGCTACCCTTGATGTGTGTCCTATTTATTTCTGGATACCTTGTATATTAAGGAATAGAAGCTAGTTGACTGCAACACACAATTGTGTTTTACTCAAAAACTGAGAACAATAATATTTTGGCTGTGTTCAGTGAATAGTCGGACCGGTCAAAGTCATTCAGTGGATAAATATTTCATTGGTCAGCCCAATCAGTTGATTGGGAATATTGGGCAAGTTTTAATACAGTTACTAAAGGCCGTACGGCGAATTGTTTGACTAAAGAAATTTGACCGAACTAATCCAACCATTCGCTGAACACAGTCCTTATTTGTGCAAAATAAAATTTTATGATATATGACATGATATTTTATTACATATGGCTATATGTATATTCTTTAATTACTATCACCAACTCAATCTACTCTTTCTAGCAACCTTTAGTCTCTAACACCTATACTAGTCTATCTTTCTCAATTCTCAAATTATATATACAGGGTGGTCCGTAAGTAATGGTCCATAGAGACACACTAGATTTTTTACTTCAAAATATTACGATTGGAGCCAACATGCCTTAATAAAATGTTGATAACAAAAAAGATACAGGGTGTCAAAGTTGGAAATTAAAAATTGAATTTTCGTAATAATTATAATATTTTTGAGTGTATGAATGTGAAAATTTAGGGGTAGATGTTTCTGTATACAAGAAATCATAATTTGTTATCTATTTCGATGTATCTTCTAGAGGGCGCCACATACGCCGTGTTTATGACGTAAATACGAGCATAATTTTTTTATCCACAACGTTAACGCTTCTTTTTTTTAAAAATCTTAAACCTACATTATTTTCGTGAAAAAATGGTATACTTGTCATTAGCTCTAGAAATTGTCCGTTTTCAAGAAAAACGCATTTCAACAATCTGCTGCATGTTTCATTACAGGAAATTTTATCGTAGTGTGCGACAATGCCAAGACAGTTTTGACAATTAGAAAAAATCATTGTGACAGTTAGCAATTATTTCAAATTGTATTTATTAATTTTTGGTAAAAATCAATTAAGTATTTAAAAGAAAATAACGAATTATGCCGAGACATAATAATTTCTCGAATTTGGAAATGAGAGATATGACGGTTGTTTATTGTCAACAAAATTTCAATGGACGTGCTGCGCAACGTGAATATTGCCGAAGATTTCCAAACAGATTGCAACCTGGTAAACGACTGTTTCAAAATCTATTCAGAAACTTAGGCGAAAGTGGTTCATTTCGTCCTAAACGTGATAATTTAGGTCGACCAAAAATGATTACGCCTGACCAGGAAGACGAAATACTAATTCGCATTGCAGATGATCCACAAACTAGTTCAAGACGATTAGCTGCAGCCACGGGAATTAATAAAACATCAATTTTAAAGACATTACATGAAGAAAAATATCATCCATATCATTTTACACCAGTTCAAAATTTATTACCTGTCGATCTTCCTTCAAGATATCAATTTGCAAGTGATATTCGGAACAAGCAGAATACTGACTATACATTTGTCAACAGAATATTGTTTACAGATGAAGCGACATTTACTCGCCGAGGTATTTTCAATTTAAGAAATAAGCATTGTTGGGAAGTTCAAAATCCTCATGTAACTCGAGAACGGCACTTTCAACATGAATTTAAGATTAATGTTTGGTGTGGGATCATTGGAAACCATTTTCTAGGTCCATATGAGTTGCCAGGAAATTTAAATGGTACAAGTTATTTAAATTTTTTAGAAAATAGCTTTGTTGATCTATTGGATGCGTTACCACTGAATTTGAGGCAAAATATGTGGTTCATGCAAGATGGCGCTCCGCCACATTTTACTCATCAAGTAAGAACATATCTAAACCAACACTTTCCTGAACGTTGGATTGGCCGTGGTAGTATATTTCCTTGGCCGCCACGTAGTCCAGACTTCAACCCTTTAGATTTTGGTGTATGGGGCACAATGAAGGAAATTGTTTATAAAAACACTATAAATACTCGCGTCCAACTTTGGCAAGAAATTAGTAATGCCTCAACTTTTTTTGATCCAATGGTATTATTTAATATTAGACGATCTTTCATAAATCGTATGGACAAGTGCATCGAGGTGAATGGTGGACATATTGAAAATTTACTTTGAAACATTTCCTATTTTTCCTTAGGTACATATTCAGTTTTTTACTTGTTAAACGCTTGATAAAATCATAGTTTTGTTTAATTAAATTTCTCCTTTAACTGGTTTTGTAAATAAAATTTATCAACTTGATAATTTGTATTTTAATGTGTACAAAGGGATAATGTTTAATTGTCAAAATTAATGTTTTCATTAGCGCACACTACGATAAAATTTCCTGTAATGAAACATGCAGCAGATTGTTGAAATGCGTTTTTCTTGAAAACGGACAATTTCTAGAGCTAATGACAAGTATACCATTTTTTCACGAAAATAATGTAGGTTTAAGATTTTTAAAAAAAAGAAGCGTTAACGTTGTGGATAAAAAAATTATGCTCGTATTTACGTCATAAACACGGCGTATGTGGCGCCCTCTAGAAGATACATCGAAATAGATAACAAATTATGATTTCTCGTATACAAAAACATCTACCCCTAAATTTTCACGTTCATACACTCAAAAATATTATAATTATTACGAAAATTCAATTTTTAATTTCCAACTTTGACACCCTGTATCTTTTTTGTTATCAACATTTTATTAAGGCATATTGGCCCCAATCGTAATATTTTGAAGTAAAAAATCTAGTAAGTCTCTATGGACCATTACTTACGGACCACCCTGTATATAATTTTATGATGTTTGACATATATGTCAAATACTGTAAAAAACCTAACCTAAACTAAGTTATGTCACTGGAAAAAGTCATTGCTCCAGCAGGTGGTCAAAAGCTAATAACAGCGACTTATTTATCACCTTCAGAAACTTAACCAATACCAAATTCATTTGCATTACATTGTTTTTTTTTGCCATTATTAAAAAATCCTTGACATCCTATCTGATAAAAAAAAGAGAAAAAAAAAACAATAGATCTCTTGTCCATAAGAAAAAGATTCCTAATTTTTCTATGTTCTATCAACCCTTGATTTTATGGTAATTTTTTCCAAAGCACCCTGTATAAAACAACAAAACAAACAAACAAACTTGACACGTTTATTAAAAATTACATAAGAAATTACATTTGCATTAAAATTGTATAAAATAGCAAGGGCATAAAAATAGATATTTATTTTCAACATTATTACATTTTTTTATAATTATCAATAGTAATGATTATCATTATCATCATCATCATTGTCATGATATATATTATATTACATACAGGGTGATGCACAAATGGTGACGAAAAATGAAACCTCGTATTCTTCGGTGAATTTTAAAAGCAGCCTTTCCTATAAAGTTTTTATTTGGGACGCTTCGTTAAAAAGATACAGTGTTAAACTTTAAAAAAACTAGTACCAAAGTCAAATAATTTGAAATTGGGCAGATGTATTTATGTAATAATTGTCCAAAATCTGAGGCCCTTTTCTAAAATTTAGATGTTTCAGTGGCGGAGATGCAGGGTATCGATGGCATATTTTTCTAAATTACGCTACTGCTTTACTTTCTACAAATTACTACTCTCTTATGATTTTCAAAAAGAGCCTGATGTTCTTGAAATTCGAACTGAAAGCACCGGATCTCAATCTACTGGATTTATTTTTGTGGGGTGCTGTTAAATGGCTGGTATACAGTGAACAAGAAGAAGAAAGAATAAATAATGTTTTTCATCAGATTCAAGCAACAATAAATTTTGAACTGATTATATTTTCGTTACTAAAAAGATGTTGCGCCTATGTTCGTGGAAATGGAGGCATATTTGTGTATTTACTCAAAATCAATAAAATGATGACATGTTATTATTTTCTTTATTCGAATAAATAACCGAATGATTAGTGTTTGTCATGTCATTTAAGTAAAAGTGTTTTCAATTTGTTTTTTTAAGTTTTACTCGAAAATCAGGCTTTTTTTGAACAACATAAGAGAGTAGTAAAATTGAAAGACGAATCTGAAAATATCATGATTGTTACCGTAAAGCAGTGGCATACTATTTTATTTAGAAAAATATGCTACCAGTACCCTGTATCTCCGCCACTGGAGTATCTAAATTTTAAGACCAACTCAGATTTTGGGCAATGGTTACATAAATACATGTGCCTAATTTCAAATTATTTCACTTATTAGTTTTTAAATAATTCAAAAAAATTTAAAATATTTTTCCAAGTTACACACTCTGTATCTTTCTAACGAAGCGTCCTAGATAAAATTTTGAAAGACTCCCCCTAAAATACACCAAAGAATACACTGTTAGTGAATCACCTTGTGCAAAATATTTTTTTCATAATCAACTGACATACAATTTAAGTAGATGTTTTTTTAATTTTCCCAAAATTAAATTTTCTTAGTTATACCTACTTAAATTTTACGTTGATCTAACATTCAATTCCTCAAATTTCATAATGTAACTTTATGAAAAATGAAAATTTCTAAAGAAAAATAAAAATTGAGTGTGAAATTATGAGTTGACTATGAAAATAAATATTTTCCACGGGGTGTTTCAGAAAACATAAGCCAACGTTCGGGGCAGATTCCTAACCTAAAAACAAGATAATTTTTTCATATCAACATGGGTCCAATTTTGCTTCGTTCCTTAGCTACAGGGTGTCAAAGTTTTAAAATAAAATATGTTTCTTCCAAAAAATGTAGATTTCCACTTGAGGGAATTAAATGAAATTTGGACAACTAACTATTTACAACCGAATACACATTCCTTTTATGTAGAACATGAATTACAGGACCTGACTTACTTGCAAGCCCTTGGATTCAATTCAAGAAAAAATTGGTTTCTGTTGAGATTTTTAATTTAAATGTGCTCGGAAATTAAAATTTTGGGACACTTTCAACATTTCCTATAAAATGTTATATCGTGTTTATCGAGTTGTTTATTGTAAGTATGTTTACAATTCATAATTAATTCTAGATAAATAAAAAATTGTTTATATTACATTTAAAATACCGAAAACTCAAAGGAAAATGAAAAAGTCAATTTTTTATCAAAATTGAGCTAGTATTTAACGCATGTAATTATAAACTAGAAATCTCAAGGGGGAATCAATTTTTTCTTTGATTAAATCCAACGGCTTGCAAGTAAGTCCGGTCCTGTAATTCATGTTCAACATAATAATACCTAGCAATGTGTATGCGGTTGTAAATAGTTAGTTGTCCAAATTTCATTTAATTCCCTCAAGTGGAAATCTAGATTTTTGGAAAAAACATTTTATTTTAGAACTTTGTTACCCTGTGGCTAAGGAACGAAGCGAAATCGGACCCATGTTGATATGAAGAAATAATCTTTTTTTGAGGTTAGGAATCTGCCCCATGCGAACGTTTTTGAGATCTTGGGGGGTCTCTGTTATTTTTAATTGTTTATTAAGAAAATTTGTCAAAAAATTTTTTCATAATAATTATATCAGTATAATTTGTATTGCTAAATTTCTGTTATCTTTATTTCTGATATTTTACAGCAATGTATAGTTTAGTATAATAATAATAATTTTTTTATATAAGAAATTTTTGGGAGGCATGAAAATCTCAAATAATATAGTGTTATGAAGATCCACCTAACAATAAACAAAACAATTCAGGTGTAATATAGCACAGGACGATGAGAATAAACATAAATAATTTATTAACATTGCCTTTACACTACTACATTACTAACTCCAACTATTGACATTAATTGAAAAGTTAATTTATTTTTGCATTTAATTGCTATCTTGTAGACATCAATATAGAATTATTATTATTATGATATTAAATATATTTTAGGGGCATTTTGTAAGGGCATTAGGTAAAATTGGTGACCAAGATACAGAAAATGAAGTTATTTTATTAGAACACGATGTTCCTCACAGTCAGTTCTCAGAAGAAGTGCTTAGCTGTCTGCCCAAGATGCCATGGATAATAACAGAAGAGGTAAATTAAACATTCTACAAATTAAATTGCATAGTCTGACAATTAGTCTATTATATATTTTATATACAGGTTATCCAGAAACTTTACCGACATACTTCAAAGTCAAATCAAGTTACCTTATTACCATTTTACTTCTTTAAAAAGTTACAAGCCTTCAAAAACTTTTTATTTTGTTTTCGATAACTCCTTACTTTTTGATATTTCCATAAAACTTGGATTATAGTTTGGGTAGTCGAATATAAATTATTTTTTACTTATTAGAACATGGAGATTGCAAAGAACAATTTACACAATGTTTTGTTTTTTATCAAATTTTTTTGTTAGTAGAGATTTTGAGTAAACATGTGTTGTTTGAAACACCACTTTATTTACTGTAAAAAAAGGTATACTTTTTGCATGTCGTTAAAGTGCATAATTCTTGGACAAATGGTTTCCAATTTTATATAGTGATGGATAGCCAAGTGTTGGAGGATATTCTAGTGTAATTAAACTTCACACTTCCACCAAATTTGTAACTAAATATATTAATTTTTGACAATTATTTGGGCGACATATCTTCAAAAAATGTATTTCTTTTTTATGTAATTTTAAAAATTGAAAAATGAACAGTGTCCCTAAAATTTTTAAGAATAAATTTAAAATAATTTGTCAAGACACCAAACAACTACCCGTCGTTAACTGCCTTCGACGGTCTCCTTTTCTATTTGCAAAAAGAGGTAACACAGTGATAAGAACAATATTTTATTTCCAACGACGTTTTCTTTACTTTGACATGACATGATACATTTTTACAATTTTTTACATATCTACTTGGTTTTTTCTTCTTTTTCTAACAAAAGCTACTAACGTAACCTAATCTAAATTCGTAACAAATTTGTTTAACTGAAATTTGTCCAGAAACACCTGTATTATGTGTTTGTGCGATTATAGGATGTCAAACGTAGAGTTGACCTTCGTCATATTGACATATGCTCTGTCGATCCTCCTGGATGCACCGATATTGACGATGCTCTGCATTGCCGACCAATATCAGATGATAAATTAGAAGTTGGTGTACATATAGCAGATGTATCTCATTTTATTAGACCTGGTACTGCAATAGATTTAGAAGCTGCATCGAGAGCTACCACGGTTTATCTGGTTAATAAACGTATCGATATGGTAAGTGTTTTTTTTTCACTACAGCCTACATACTTTAATATATTGTAACTTTGATAAAACACAAAAACAATCATGATAAATAAAGTAAGTTGTTGTAAACATTAATATCCGTATATAATTTTAGGTTCCAGAATTACTCAGCTCTAACTTGTGCTCTCTGAGAGGTGGCGAGGAAAGATTTGCTTTCTCTTGTATCTGGGAAATGGACAAAAAGGCAAATATTTTAAATACGAGATTTCACAAAAGCATAATCCGTTCTAGGAGAGCTATGACTTACGAAGAAGCTCAAATTACAATTGACGATAAAAGTAAAAATGATTCTATAGCTGCGTCATTAAGGAATTTGAACATGCTAGCGAAAATTTTAAAGAAGCGACGGTTGGAGAATGGGTAATAACCTTTCATATATTATAAAAAAAAATTATTTTTTTTTAATAAGTTCATAATTTTTTAAGATTTTTCAATTAAATTTAGTATGGGAGAGTTTTTGGGATCGCTGAATATAAATATGGACTTATTTTTTACCTAAAACTAAGAGGACGCTAGGAATGCCTTAAACAGTTGTTTTTGCCATACATTTTTTTTTAGAGATATGAAAACAACTTCAAAACATAATCTATTTAAAAAAAATAATTTCATGTAAAAATGTCATTTCTGTTTTTTTTCCAATATTCCACATTTTAGGAGCGTTTTTTTACACTTATGCACGCTGTACTTACCACTAAATTGTAGTATTACAAATTGTTGTCTAATTTTGGATTTTAAACGACTGTGCTTCTGTCTGTTTATTAACTTAACCAATTGTGTGTAAAGTTTATTTTTTTTTCCAACCAATTTTTGTCAGATAAAGTTAACTACAAATGTTAGCATTCGTGGATAATGATGCCGTAAATATTATTCACCAATTTGATGTAGTCACAAAAAATCTATTTCTATCATATGGAATTTATATTAAATTACAAAAATTGTTTATACGAGTCCTCACATCTAAACTAAATGTTTAGATGGCACATTATTTATTATAAATTTGTTGCAATTTTTAAATAGTTTTCCAAATTCACCGTAACTATACAAATAATGATTGTCGCAAATTCGGTAGTCAAGAAAGCTGTTCAGAAATTCATATTTTCTATTCGAATAATTTAACAATTCAAATCTAGGCAGTCGACCCTATTGAACACTAATCAAAAGCACAGATAATATAGCTTATCGCTTCAGACCACATGTTAAATGCTGGAAATTGGCAACCCGAAAAGGATGCAGGGTCTTCTGAGCTGGCATCCAGCAATAAAATTTAGCATCTATTCAGTAATAGGTGTCAATTCTAGCGATGGCAATGTTGCCAAGTAATAACGGCATACAAATAAATTTAATGCATTTGAAGAGTTACATGAAACTTGACATTACATTTGTGTTAAATGCTAAATAAAATAAATTAGAATTGAAACTATGAATTTACATAATTTATAATTTATTTTTTATGAATTCCCATTAGAGTGGGAGAATTCAACAACATGAAATTAATGTTTTTAGATTTGTGCGTCGACTTCCAATTTGATACGATATTAACACCTATTTTAAAAAAATTGCATTATACAGGTTGCGTAAAAATGTTGCCAATCACATATTTTTTATTGAATATTCTGTATTTTATCACGTAAAAGATTAAACAACTGTTGCATATCATGGATGCCATTGGCAGTGCTCTTATTTGTGACACAGGGTATTAAAAAAAAATTAAACAGTGTAAAATTGCCCTAAGAGAAGTTCTTTAATTTTTATTTATCTTGAAAATTTTATTTAATAAAATTGTTGGAACCTCAATAATCAATCGATGATCCCTTACAGAGATAACAAACAAAAAAGTCTGTCAAAAATTGCGAGTTATAAGGCCTTTTTTACTGTTTTTTTCAACATACGGACTTTAATTTAAAAAAATTAAAATGGGTTATTCTGATGATGAAAAATAAGACACAATGAAACTGTATTATTCAAATAACAATAATGGGGAAAAGTTCTTCAGGGAATATCGGCAAATTTTATTTTGAAGGAAAAATCCCGTCAATGAAAATGAACACTAAAAAATATTAGAAACCGTAGGTGGCCAGAAAGCAGCCCTGATCTCAGTCCCTTAGACATATTTTTTTCAACAAAATATATTATTAAAGACCTCAAAATTTACAAATATTGAGAGAAAAACAGGACAAAATGTTTGATAATTCTGAATTTTTTTTAACGCAATAAATAGTAAATTAAAATATATATTCAACTGTGTCATCACAATTATGGGCGTGTGGAAAATTTGTAGGTATTTTAGTGTTATTTCATTTTTAGGTTTCTCATTATATTGATGTAAAGGTTAGTTATAAAAATCGTTATTCATTGTTCCAATAAAGATGTACATATTTAAATTTTTTTAACGATTTTTTACTTTAAATATATTTTATCCCAGCAAATTTTGATAATGTCAAAAGAAGTCCTACATTTGTATTTAGTTTTTTTTTCCATTTTTAATGATTAAAGCCGTGAGTGTCAAAATACAAAAAAAAACCTGTACCTACATTCCGTGGCATGCTAATAACCCACCTTGTATATTAAAAAAATATATAAAAATCATCAAATATTTTAAAAAATTATGTTTCTACCTGTTGTTTATTTGGAAATATATTTTCTGCAGTATTTCAATACCAGAAGATGAAAATATGCAGTAATTAATTAACGAATTTATGGTTAAATAACCTAACTGTAACACCGCTGCAGAATATCCGATCATCTGAAGTTGACTACATAGGTACTCGTTGATTCTTTAAAATACCTACATCATACATTTAAGTAAGTAAATACAGTAATAAACAAAATAGGCATTGACAAAATGACATGACAACATTGCCAAACTGTTTTTTATGCTAGGATATGCGTAGGAATGCCGGCTGCTGCATTTGATTCTTCCTAAAATTCTGCTGGTGGTGAACTATATTGGCAATTTTGAAATTTAAACCTGCTGTCTTATTCCAAGGGGTGTTTGGAGCGATAAGCTATGTTGTCTGTGTCGAAAGCGCAATCTACTGACTACTAGCGCCAAGTCAGCCATGTTCACTCAATTGCATGTAAATGCAAAAATTCGCAAGTGCTAGCAAAATTTTACGATGAACACTTGTGGGTAGACTCATTTGAAAATAAAGATTGAGTGTTTGAAAGAGTGTTTTAGGAATTTGTACTATTTTGTTTATGAATACAATTGCCTCTAAATTCATAAACATGAGTTTGGAAGTTTTTGGATTTCCTATATTTTTTCTTTTATTTAGAAGCTTAAATTTTACTTTGTATACCTACTGTAGAGCAGGGGTCGGCAAGTAATTTTAGGTGGGGTCCGAATACTTTTGAAAATTTTTAATGAGGTCCAGAAAAAAATTCATATTTCTTATTTTTTTATTTGGACTCAAATTTAATCTGCTTACTAACCATTAAGAACTCAAAACACTCACACAATTGTAAAATACTAGAAAAAATGATAAGATTGGCACTTAAACGTAAAAAACATTTTTTAAATAATTTATTTGAGTAATTTATACTTTCTTAAAATTTTTGGCGGTCCAGTATTTTACCTTTCGCGGTCCGGACCTGGACCGCGGTCCGCCAGTTGCCGATCCTTGCTGTAGAGTTTGAATCTCTTATAGTTTTCTAAGGAAGTGTGGTCCAACAAGGTAATAAATAAACAATATGTCGAGAAAAGAAGAAATCTATATTTACTACTATAAACTAAGTAAATGTCAATAGCAAATGTTGGTTAAACCAGGCTTAGTCTCTCGTAAACTCGAAAATGTACTTACACGCCACTACACACCTCAAACGTGCATCATTTGCTAGCCGATGCTCCCTTGATTTCCCAATTCAGCACGATCAAGTAGTAAAAGAAAGTGCCCCTCTACAAGTCACCTTAATTCGGGAGACCACCCAAATAACGGCAGGGAACTCAACTCTTGGTTATGGACAGAAAATCTCCAGTCAGACCACTCAAATAATTACAAGAAACATAACTCTTGATTACGGACTGAAAATCTCTGGTCAAACCACTCTAATAACTGCAGGAACCATAACTCTTGATTACGGACTGAAAACTACAACAGTCATGTTAAAAAAATCCTTGAAAGCCCTCCCTCTTTTTCATAACCCTTTTTTTTTAATCAACACATATACATACCGCGACTACATATACAGGTGTGGTAAATTTTACTTATACAGAGTGATTCAGAACTTATCAAAAAAAAAAAATTTGGATGTACAGAGGACTTTTACAAATACTTTGCAAACAAAAAGGGCAGTTCGAAAATGATTTAAAAATAGACTTCTGCAGTGGACTGGAAACTGGTCCACTGTAAAACCTGACCATACACAAGGCCAAGTGTAATAAAAAATGAACAAACAAAAACTTTCAAAGACAAAGAATTTCGCAAGGAAAGAAATAAATAAAATTTTATAACACCTATTTCATATCAACAAATTCAACTGCTTTTGCCACTATTGTTATTATTAATTAATGAAATTACTTAATAAAATAATTTGACATAACTGATGTTACAACAACTGTTCAAAATTTTGTCCACTGACGTGTAAACACATTTGGACCCGTCTTACACAGCTTCTACGAACTAACACAAATGTTAAAATTAAAATTAAAAATTAAAACGATATCCATCAACTCCGAGTAGCTATACACGTAAGCCATTTTTGACACTAACTACTAAAAAACCATTGTAAATACTATCGCAATGACATTAATACTAATTGTAAAATCGGATTTCAGTATTCCCAGTCGTACATTGCGTAAAATGCACAACATACATGATTCTAGGGACTACAGTTGTCCATTGATGTAATCGTGAAAAGCACTATAACTTAATAATTTTTCTCGGAAACTATAAAGATTTTACAAAAAATTTGTTTACGATCTCCATTTTTCATGCCCCATCTATTACCAAATTTTTTTGGATAAATGGTGAATCACCCTGTATTTTATAGAGCTCTAGTCTTGGCTTCACCTGAAGTTAAAATCTTAATGGATTCGGAAACAATGGAACCCCTTGATGTCGAAGTTAAAAAATTATTTGAAACCAATTCAATGGTAGAAGAATTTATGTTATTAGCAAATATTAGCGTGGCCCAAAAAATTTTACAAGAGTTCCCGGAATGTGCAATGCTTAGGAGACACCCAACACCGCCTTCTTCTAATTTTGATCCGTTGGTGAAAGCTGGTAAACATCTTGTAAGTATTTTAAGTATGTGTATTTTATTTAAGAAAATTTAATCGAAAGTATTTAGTGACAGGAAATTGAAACTTCACTCATTATATTTTAGGGATTTGATATTAAAATAGATTGTGGTAAAAACTTGGCTAAGTCGCTAGACGAGGCTGTAAACCCCAAAAATCCATACGTAAATACTATGCTAAGGATTCTAGCGACTCGTTGCATGTTGCAAGCTGTATATTTTGCAAGCGGTACTTTACAAAAAGAAGATTACTTTCATTACGGTTTAGCCGTTCCGTTATATACTCACTTTACCTCGCCCATAAGAAGATACGCAGATATTATCGTACACAGGCTTCTGGCAGTGACTTGTGGAGCCGACGCGACATATCCCGATCTTTTAGATAAAGAAAAATCAAGTAATCTTTGTCAGAACTTAAATTACAGGAATAGAATGGCTCAATATGCTGGTAGAGCTTCTGTTGCTTTTAATACACACGTATGTATTCTGTGTACTTTGAGTATCTTTTTTTTTAAATGTTGTTTTTAGATATTTTTCAAAGGCAAATTGCAAGACGAGGATGGTTATATTTTATACGTCCGAAAGAATGCCTTGCAGATATTAATACCAAAGTATGGTTTAGAATGCACCTTGTTTTTGGCACCAAAAGGAGAGACCTCCAATATTTTTTGTTATAATGAAGAGGTATGTATAAAAGCCAAGTGCAGAGGTAAACTTTGAGAAATTATTATTTTTTAGGACCAAACTCAAGAAGCGGGGAGTATTGCACTACATGCTTTCGATCCGATTAAAGTTCGACTAAGTTTAGATTCTAACAATATTCAACATGAAAAATTTGCCTTGCAACTCGTGAAGCCCTATATTGAAGGTTTTAGTGTTTTACCATTAAGTGAAATAGAAGTAAACGGGAATGAGAAAAAACGGAAATCGACAAATAATGAGCACAAGAAGAAAAATAAAAAGAAATCTTAATCTTAAGTAATTGTATAATTTTTGTATTACATTTGAAAAAATTAAAATGTATTTCTTTATTCTTATCTACTTATTATTTCACGTTCCAGTAAAACTTACACCTATAGGTTGATCAAGGTTTAGTATTGAGTAAGTGTTAAAAGTTAAATTACATATATCGGGTGTCTCAAAATTCACACAAGATTTGAATGATGTGCCACTTGAGCGGTAAAGTGTTGCCAAAGCAAAAAAGAGACAGCTGACAGTTCATAGACAGTTATTTAAAATGGAGCGTTACACTAAAGAACAAAGTGTTTTAATTGTTGGGCAATATTTTAAAAGCCGGGAATAGTGACTTAACTTCATCAACTGTGAGGAGATTAATTGAAAAATTCAGGAAGACTGGATCAATCAGTGCTCTTAAACACTGGCCGTCCTTCAATAAGTTGTCAAACACAAAACATCGAAGCAGTTCATGAGAGTGTTGCTGAGACTGTGGTTAAGAATTTCACATTTCAAGAAGCTCTCTACAGTTTTCGCGAATAATTTACATCTTCATGCTTACAAAGTTCAATTGACTCAAGAGTTGAAGCCTACTGAAAACGCAGAACAAAGAGAGTTCGCGAATACTGATGTTTCAAACAAAATCATCTTCAGCGATGATGCTGATTTTCATCATGATGGCTTCGGACCATACAAAAAAAAATGATGCTCGCTATCATGACATAATCCAGTTCTTTTTTGTGCCTAAATTGCAAAATATGGGCCATACAGCCCAAGAAATAATTCAATTACTACTGCATGACCCATTTCCTGGTCATGTAATTTCCATTAATTTTAGAAGTCTTAAGGTTTATGCCAACAAGCTCACAACCACCCACACTTTGGACGAAATTGAGTCCAGTATCAACGAAAATTCAAACCAGTGTTGCGAGAAATAACTACTCTGCGGGCTACATGCCCCAACTGGCATTGGATTATACTCGCAACACCTAGTACAACAGCTAGGATTGTGTAAACAAAAATTCAGCTGCATTTGTGTAAAACGGTAATGAAAGTTTTGACAAAAGAGTATGTGCCAGCAAAACTGTGGAGGCCATTTACTAGAGTATGCTATTCCCTACATAACCCTACATTGTATACTTTATGTATCAATAAGAAATTAACAATTTTGAATTAAAAACATGTTTTCTATCAAAATTACTTTTTGCGTGAATTTTCGGATATCTTTTATTTCCATGTATGTTTGACTTATCACAATTTAACGATAAAAGAGTATTTTTACTAGTTCGTGTAAGTACCGTTTTATAAAACCTGTGTATTTAACAATGTACTATCTCGAGATATAAACAAATCAGCAAATTCATCAAATCAATTTTTCTTTAATAAAATCAAATTACAAAAATATTATATTTCCAGGAAAATATTCCCATTAGGATATATAAAACTACAAAAGTACTACAGTCGAACAGAAGACTATTGGATCTATTTTTTCGTGCTAAAATAATATTAGCTGTTAAAAGTATCACCAGTAACCCACTGTTAATACAAAAGTTAAAGAAAGAGTGATCAGTTATTTTGTGACAAAAATACTAGTAGCAAACGGACTGTGCCGTCATATAAAATACAGTCTGTAGATATATGCTTATATATTTCCTACTCCAATTTACCATTAATTAATTTTTTATAAACATTTTTGTGCAGAAAAACGCATTTTTTAAAGTTTTTTGCTTATAAAACCTAAACTTACGAAGTGATCTGAATGCTATATAGAGACAATTTGTAAAGAATCGAAATACGAATAACAACGAAAGTTCGATTGATCCGATCAGATAATTAGAAATGAAGAAAACCCGGAAAAATCGGAAAATTTTGCATTTTCTATAAAATTCATTACTCCACTATTTTTTAAGGTATCGAGCTGACCGTGTGTACAAACTCCTCACGGACTCGAAACTACACATATGATCTTCGCTATGAACTGATGCTGCTCTTCATGAGGTCTGCTCATGAAGACGCCTCTGCTACTAATCAACGATTAGTAGCAGAGGCGTTACTTGAAATGGATAAATTGAGAAATATTTCTAACCAAGAAGGTGTAAATAAATGAAAAGAAAAAAATATTTTAAAAACAAGCTTTTATTAAAATACACTAAAAAGAAAATAATAAACGGGAGTTCATAAAACCCATAATGTTGTGTAAACCCCAAACCCATAAAAGGGTTGAATATGGTTGCTCTATAGAAGTGTCATCAGCAAAAGTATGATAAAATGAAAAAATTTTCACATAATTTCCTTAACTTGCCCCTAAAAATAAAAATTCCAATTAGGAATAAACCTCGTGTCGTGACAAGCTATACAATGATACTATAGAGCAGCCATATTCAACCTTTTGTGGATTTGGGATTTATTTTTTTTTCTCCTTTGCATTTTAATAAAAGCTTGTTTTTAAAATATTTTGTTTACTTTTAATTTATTAGCTTCAATGCAATTTAACACCAACTAAACAAGATCGAATTTTGTAAGCAACTGTATTTATTACATAGTTTTTATATTAATTTAAAAAGTATAAAAATAAAATGTAACAAATAAGTAATGTTTACAAATAAAATACAGATAAGATTTGCAAATTGTAGACCTGATCAGATAAACTATTTTGCTGCCATTTTTGTATTACTATTATTATTTGATGAAAAATAATACAGAAGAATGTTAATATGTATCAAATTACGAATTTTAAAATAAACGATAAAGACAATACAAAAAATGAATTATATTGGTTATAAAAATCAATAAAAAAAATTGTCATCAAATATATTCAAAGAGAGACAGATATTAGCAACAGACAAACTGCTGAATGAACTGATTTATTCCTTAACACAATTCTTTTTAAAATTCATCAATATCACACAAAAAGAGGAAACTTTATATTTACTTTAGTCGGCATTCGCACTTAATAATTCTTGCATTGGTACGGAATGCCGACTACAAGAGACTTAGACTTGTAGCCAGTGCTAACATCTCTTCAACTTCTGTTTTAAAAAATAAATTTTATTTTCAATTGACAGTTATAAATTTTATACTTAAAAACAACTTACTGCCTTATAAATAGATGTAGTAAAAAACGAGTTCAACTGTGCAAAAAATAAGTCGAAAGTTGTTAAATAAAAAATCTAGCTATTTATTTAAAAACTTGTAGAAAATATAATTAAATGTTATTCGAAATATTAGGAACAACTGGTTGTCTTGTATGTTTAATTAAACATTTGCCGAAGCCACATGAATATAAAATGTCTTCGTGCCACTTTAAGTCTTTCACTGGTCCAATATGTTCTGTATTGCGATAAAGAATTTCAAGTGAATTTTTATTACTATTAACAATTAAAACTTCATTAACATCACCACAAACAGCAAACTCTGACGAATTTTTGAAGGAAATTCTGTTAATGGTACCATCGAAGCAGTGGAGGACTGATACAAAATCTTTAGGTTCTCTTTTGTCCAATAAGTATACATCACCGGCTTGGGTCCCAACAACTATGTAATTATCATTATCCTGATTCCATGATACACTACATATTGAAGAAAATTCGTTCGTATATATCACTACAAAAATATTTAAAGTTAAAATATTTGACAAGATTCACAACATACCAACCAGCATCTAATGATTAATGTTATATTGTAAAGAAAAACTGTAAACAATATGAAAGCATTGTTTTATTTTGAAAAACTTACCTGAAGGAGTTGTTGGACTTCTTAAATCCCATAAACAGCTTATCCTGTCTCTTCCTCCAGAAAGAAACAGATTCGTATCTTTTTTTAAAGTGTCTATACTGGTTACTCTATCAGTATGATAGTTACTACAAAAAACATGGTATATCTAAATGAAATTTAAGATAAAAATAAGACATTGACAATTTCCCACCATCCACTATGCTATTTTATACTTCAACAGCTCGATTGTAGAGCTAAATAATACTGTAAGATTAGTATGCTTTAAAATGATAAATAATACATGAAAAACGATAGCCTGTGCATAAATAATAATAATAATATCTCTACCCCTCATTCTAATCGCAACAATTAGCCCAGAAATCAGACATTTATGTGGAAGAGGGGGCGGCATATATATATTCAATGGACGCATCTGCGCCCAGAAAAGATTTATGTTTGTAAGCGCCCTAAGCAGTGCAGGAATGAGGGAAGCCTGGAAAACCTCATTAGTTAGGAGAAGATCAAACACTGACCGGTTTCAATCTCACATTTACACAAGCCAACGTTCTTCCATTGTACCATATCCGCAGAGATAATGACTAATTCCTCTCTACGAATATAGCTAATCTACGGTTTTACAGCCGCAAGGATTGAACCCGTGACAGTGGTATTCATCGATTCAAGTATTGACACTTAAAACCGTTTAGCCACCAACTGAAAGATAAAAGTAAATTGCAGCCTGTTTCCTTGATCCCTTCTGGACTTTTTTGCACATATGCCAACAGAAAATTTTGAGATCAAAATATTATAATTGAGCCAGATATACCTTAGTTCACATTATTTTATTTTATTTTATGCGCAAATGTCTTAAAAGATGTTTAAAGTAGATTAATTAAACTTGTCTGGAAAATTTAATGGCATAGAAACTGACCTCTTCTATTACTCAGGATGAAAAGATTTTCTTGTATCATTTTGATAAGTTATTATTATTATTTTTCGAGTAAAAATGGTTTACGACTCATGCAAAATGGCAAAGAAGAAAAGCTCTTTTGCATTATCCAATGTATTTGTAAAATAAAACAATAAGGGATATCAGACCATTAGATCCTATCCAGTTTGATTTTAATCTGTTTTGAAAGCATAAGCAAAGTTTTAATAAACATAAAAGCTTTCTTACTTTATACTTAAATGTAAAAATTATATCATTGTATATTACTTACTCAAAATTTTTACACGGTTTTCGATCTATACTATCTATATCCCAGATCATAATGGATCGTTCTGAACAACTTAATATTTTGCAGGAATTGTTCCAAACGCTTAACTGAGGAATTCGCTCAATCATTTTAAAATAATTGATTGGCCTTATTGTAGAATCTAGATCAAGAGAGAGTATATTTATATTACCAGTATCTTCTGCTAAAGCAATCTGTAAACATAAAGTTATATTCTAATGGCTGCAACATTTTAGATTATGTACAATATTATTCTTTACAAATTTTCCATCCGATGTTGTTGCATATATGTAATGACCGCAATAATCAAAATTTTCCATACAGTTTTTGTCTTTAAAATATAGCAAGGTACCTTCCCAAAATGTTCCTGCAACTTCAGATGCACCAACGATACAATTACCTAAAACAAACGTGATATAAACAATTAGAATTAAACAATCATTTCATGTTTGCTGACCATTTTCATTGAAATCTAAAAAAAATAAAAAGTCATATATAACTGGAGTTTTGGAAAATTCAATTCTTGGTTCTAGAGGTTTATTTGGTGGAAAAATAACTCCATCCACTCCTAGACCCTCTTTATTATTATATGAATTCGACATTTCCTCAAATTACAAAAAATGTGAATGTGAGGTTAGTGTATTAAAAAAAAAGATCTTTTAAAGTTGTTTACAAGTATAAAAATCCCTAAACAATCATGTTGCATGTTCACCAAACTTAAGACAAAAATCCTCTAAATAGTTCAGAACTGTCTAACGTACCATTTAATTATTTTGTATTAAAGTTATTTAAAAGTAAATAAACTAATTTAATATTATATTAACTACAAAATACAACTCCAATTGAAGTACTTTCGAATATCGATTTCCGACCCTGACAAATAAATGCGTGAAGTTTCAGTATTATATGTATTCCTTAATGGTGGCATTGTAGACACATAATTTTGCCGACTTCTTTATTTCTCATTTGCTAAGCTAGTCTCGATATTTGTAATGGTGCCAATAAATTCTAGTATTTTGAGAATGGCAGTCAGTGTACTATTTTGAAAGAGGTAATATTTCATGAAATCGACGAATGCTTATATCATCGTTACAATTGAATAATTTTTATTGAATATTATTCATGCAAATAAAAAATATTTGGAAATGTTTACTTATTTTTAGGGGCTTGGTCAATTTTTATAATGTACTTTACTTACCTTCAATTAACTAATCGAAGTTATTAAGCAAGTTTCTATCGATCATTGTAATTATAATGTTTCGTGAAGCAATATAGCATTGATAATAAGAAAAATAGTCTTAATTTAATACATTTTCTAGTTGTAATGTAAAAAACGTGTAGTTAGCAATGTTCTTTTTGTGATTGTCAAATCAACAACTTAAGTTTTGATGCATAAAAGATTCATTTAAAAAAAACGTCATATTTACGAATAAATATTAATATCAACATAATACCTGTTTATTGTTATTACTATCTTTATATTAGTTCCCTAAATTTTTTAGCATATTCGTTCAACATTTAAGTAGACATTTATTGTAAATATTTGTCTCTTGTAAAATTTTGTTTATTTAGGAAGTATGTTATAATAGAATTGTTTATTGCAGCTTGTAGATAAATAGAATGGCAGAATGTATTAATAGAGATTTGGAACTTCCTAAACAAGACTGTACAAGTCCTAGTCCTACGGAGACAGTTTGCTTGGATTCTTTATATTCAGATAATAATCCAGGTATGTACAATGATAATGCAAATTAACATATATCATTTTTAGTAGCCCGTTATAAAATTATACAAATTATTTATTATGTATCTGACGGATTTAATAAGCCTGTAAAGAAATGTTAAGCTTCAAAATTGATTGGCAATAAGGTACTGTGGATTAAACAAATTTTTTGTATAAATATGTGAAATATGAAATAGTATAAGTGCTTCAATAAACAAATCAGAGAATGAATGTTAAATTAATGTAGGAGTTTAGTATGATGCAGTAGAAAATGTCACTTTCAAATAAACTTACTGTGCTCATGTAGGTATTGTGAATAGATGGCTTTTAATAAACTAAGAATAAACTTTGGAAAATTATATTTTTATTACGAAAAATAAAAAGTAAAGTAATATGTACTGCTGTAGTTCCATAGATTTGACGGTATACTATGGATGGAGCCAAAACTGACTTTCTGTGCATTGTAACTGTTCCAACATGAACTGCAAAATCGGCAGCTATTTGCCCAGTCACATGACCTCGGATAAAAATTGATTTAAAAAGAAACTGTTTCTGATTATGAAATTGACTCTTTTTGGGTAGTAATACAACAATGAAAAAAATTACTGACAAATCTATTTTTAAAATATGTAGTAACACTTAAAACCACATAATGAATATAATATATCGCACGTGATAAGCCTGCAAATGCCCTAAGTCACGTGACAAGAGATTAGTTTCATCTGACTTTACATCTTGGCCCCTTACCTCTCATACCAACTTTCATACCTTTCATATCAACTTGTTTATGAACGTCGTTTTTCAGGCCTTGCTCACTATGCTCATATAGTTGACTAGCGGCCCGTCCCGGCTTCGCATGGGTGGACATTTATTTTAAACATTTTGGGATATAAAAAATATAGCCTATGTTACTCAGGGATAATGTAGCATTCTAATGGTGAAAGAATTATCGAAATCAGTCCAGTAGTTTTTGAGTTTATTCGTAACAAACATACATACAAAAATACAAATCTTTCCTCTTTATAATATTAGTATAGATGAAGCGAGTTGTGCTTGTAGTTGTACGAATTTTTGAATATACTTTTATTTGCTAAACTGCATGTGTTCATTGGTGAACTCTTACAAGAAATAATAGTCATAGATGTTGTGTTACTATATGGAAGGGAATAATATAATAGCAAAAAAATTGAAACAAAAGCAAAACCATCAGAATGTTGCGTGGGAAGTAATAATTGTAAACATAATATTAAATATGTGTCAGTTGTAGACTGAAGTTGATGCCTTAAAAATTTCCAACTGCTATGAAACGGTCATGGAATTTGTACATAAACATTTAACAAAGCTGACATAACACATCCCAAAATAAAAAAAAATATGAAGCAGATTGCAAAGAATAAAATACATAAGCTGCCAAAACGTATAGTTTTCTCCCTATGTTAATGAACTTATGAGGCATATCCACAAAGAGTACTCAATTTTTTTTTAAATCAAAACGCCAATATATTTACGTAGGTAAAAGTTACATAATCAGAAAGTTATATTAAACACTATTTTTCGACATTGCATTTTTTGCATTGCAAATGTGATACATTTGTCAAAAACATCTCCCGCCGCCTTTCGGGCCCATTATTTCAAGACCTTATTGTCGGTGGAAATCGTTGAAAACTTATTTCTACTCAAACACCTTCAGAGAAGAGAAGATGATGTTCCAACATGCATTGTCATGCAACAAGCACACTCCCTTAGTTAATGTTCTCCTTCTTTTGTTCTGTATTACCTTCTGTAGTGTTTTCAGGGTTTCAGAGTACCGCACAGCATTTGTTTTCCCCTGGGGCAAAAAGTGAATGAGGAGAATCGCTTTACAATCCCACAACACAGTTGCCATGATTTTTCACTTTCATTTTGCCAGCTTTATACTCACAGCGTTACTTGTACACATAAGTACAATTCATCACATCTTCCCCATAAACAAATTTGATTTTAAAAATCTGGAAAGGCTCCTTTCCATTTGCAAGAAGAAGCCGGATTATGCTCCTCAACTAGCACCTGGCGGGATTGGGAATAGCACCTTTCATTTCAGCATGCCATTACAACAGCAGTTCTCAACTAACTGAGACAAATGAGCGAACGTTCTGCTCTCAACATCTTGGCTTTGAATGCGGTGTGCCAATTTTTTCAAAAAAAAAAAAAAAACATAGACCATCAGAGTCTCCGTACCTTTACTTTGTGGATATGCCTGGTATATGGTATCAAAGATAGAATAATGCAAGAAATAGTAGCAAGACTTCTGCTCCAAAATCAGGAATGATAGGCAAATTTGTGAAATCTTTATTTTTTTTACAAAGTTTCCTGTTTTAAATTAATTACTTGTAGTGTACTACGTATAGTACATAAGTACCTGTGAATGGGAAGATCATGACAACTTTTGCTTGACAGATTTGTTGATTAAACATTATTTTTTAATAATTACGTAAGCCTTTATTTGTTACATTTATCTTTTGAGTGATTTATTAGATTTGTTTTTTAAGTAGTGCAGCTGTAAACTATGATAGCATTTAACTTGAATTTAAATCTTTAATTATTTGTTTTGTTTATTATGAAGTTAAAATTTGGTTTGAGATTACTGCATAATTTAAATTTAGTTCACCCTTACAACCAGCTATTATTTTTTAAACTGCTGTATAATACTAAGATTAAGTCTTATTTTGTATAAATTTCTCCAGACATTGCAATTTGTGAAAATCGTTTACACTGGACTCACTTATGTCATAAATTATACCCCTAGTTAAATGTCATTCACATAACACAAGTTTCCTGTGATTTCGATGCAATACTCGTATACATATAGAAAAATAAATTTCCGAAAATTTTCTTCACCAATTTTCCTAAATGAAAAGGATTTTTGGGGGGCAGGGAGTAGAATGTTATGCGAATTACCATGTACACATGTAAGCTTCACCATGTATATTCGGAAGGAAGAATAGATTGTTATAATATAAAAACGTATGTACGTGTACCTGTTATGTTTACTTTCCGTTCATATATAACTTTTAATCCCCTTGAAGTGCCTTGCAGTGTTACTCAAAACAGAAATTATTTTCACTTCCTATCTTGAAAAAGTTATATTTAGGTAATTCGTAGTAATTAAATCTGTCCGATGCAACCGTCTGTGTATTCTTGACTATTAACTATCAAAACATTATTATTTCATAATGATATGTTTATTATTTTATTATTAGGAACATCACAGAATAGTACGAGTCAAAAAGTAGACTTCTTTAATTCATACAACGATCCGGAAGAGGAAAAAGTTGAAAAAAACAATTTCTTGAACGAACTTGGATTAGTGGAGGAATGTGATGACGACGCTAGTACTAACAAAGACGACAACTGGGAAGATTGCATTGATCAAGACTTTTCAGAAGAACTACCAGCAGACAATGAGTTAACAGAAAATGTAAGTAAAATAAAGTGGAATTTTTTAGATTGCAATATATTTTTTTAAAAGTGTACTTTAACTTTCTTCGGAGAAATGTCTTATAAAGAAAAGGTCCTCAAGGATAGCTGTGGACAACACATCGTTTCTTTTTTTGCACCACTATGATAAAATCAAACAAATCATGATTTAAAATTATATATGAGATGTTTACAAAATTGGAAATTTAGTTTTTTAAATTTCTCGTTATTATTAAACCATTTTATTTAAGTACTGTATAGTCCAGACGGATGAGCATTCGAGGCGTTTGTGTTTGAAATAATCTATTTTGTTGTACAGAAAAATCCCAAATATATAGAATAAGAATCCGAGTTTGCCTATTCCATAAAACCATTGACAAATTCAGGGGAACAACAAACATACAAAATGAACAAAAAATTACCCGTTTTTCGACATATTTTTCCCTATAACATTGAAAGTAAGCCCTAAATCAAAAAAAGTTGTTCTTTATCTTTTGTTTATTTAACGATTTTCTATAAAGTTACAATAACTGCGAATCAAAAAAGTTGAATTTTGCATTAACAATGGGCGAAAAATAGTAGAAAATCATATGTATTTGGAGCAATTTTTAAAATAAGTAAATATTTATAAATATTGATGAAACTTTGTGAACAAATAATACAACATGTTGATTCTACCCTAAAAATTTTGCAACGATCGATCGCGTGATTTTCGATTGATAGGATTGTTGATTAAGAAAATTTCAAAAAGTTTATTGCGTACTGTGGATTTAAATTAAGGTTTAAAAAGGGCACACAATTTTTTAGAGATACTTGTTGTCATAATAAAAAACGATCAATACTAAAAATACCTATGTTTACACTTTTATAACCATTTACAATTTTTTTTAAATTTTTCAACATTTTACAATAAACAATTGTTTATTGCCCAGGGAATTTTTTCATGCAATCGACAAAATCTTGAACACATAAAAACTACATCATATCCCCTTGCTTTTTAGCCAAATATGACAGCATTCTACTCTGTAGATTCTGAGATATAGAAGCATAAAGTTAATAATAATTTATAGTTTACGTAATCGTATAGCTAACTACAAGTACTTTCAATACCAGTTTAGTGCATTTTCGGCAGATAAAAGTTTAATGAAAGAAAAATCAAGAAAGGTACCTACCGTGGTCACTGGAATTTCTCGGCAGAGGGGGAGTGAGGATGACTGAGAGCAGCTGCTGCGCTGCCGCTCACCGCATGGGTTTCAAAATGCGTATGTGCGATAAAATATGACTTTTCTCAGGAACAGTAGCACTTATCAAGACAATTTTTTTTTAATTTGATATAGCAAAATGAGAGGAATACGAATATGTCATCAAAAATCAATAAAATAAATAATTTTTGCACGAATTTTGAGTTTAAAGAATTACTTAGACTTTCGTTTGCTTTTAAAAAATATGTAGTTATATTATGGTAATCAAGTTTATTAGTTTATGTTCATCAATGCATTCCATGAAATTCACGCTTTAATGATTAAATTAAAAAAATCATTATTTTCTTATTTTAATGATCTCTCTGTTAATTCATTGAAGTATAACAAATTTTTCAGTTAAATTAATGATAGAAGGAAGTTGTTATTAAGAGGGAAAATGGTATAAAAATTCTAAATGGATATAAAAGTGTAAAAATAGGTATTTTTAGTATTGATCATTGTTTATTATGACAACAAGTATCTCTAAAAAATTGTGTGCCCTTTCTAAACCTTAATTTAAACCCACGCTCACGGTACGTGCTAAATTTTTTGAAATTTTTCTTAAAAAAAATCCTTTCAATCAAAAACCACGAGATCGATCATTGCAAAATTTTTAGGGTAGAATTGACATATATTTTACTATTTGTTCACAAAGTTTCATCAATATTTATAAATATTTACTTATTTTAAAAATTGCTCCAAATATACATATGATTTTCTACTATTTTTCGCTCATTGTTAATGCAAAATTCAATTTTTTTTATTCGCAGTTGTAACTTTATAGAAAATCGTCAAACAAACAAAAAATAAAAATTTACTTCTTTTTATTTAGAGCTTACTTTCAGTGTTACAGGGAAAGATATGTTGAAAAACGGGTAATTTCACGGGGTTCACTTTCGATTAGATGTAAATTGGTTTGTATTGTAAAAAAACATACTTAGCTATAAATTTGGCAAACATTGTTACAGTTGAATCTAACATCTTTGTGTGATGATATATTAAAAAAAAACTATTTTTATATAGCGACTTAATGGAAGACATCCTATTATAATAAAATATACTGTCATTTAAATTGTTTAACTTCGCCTATTCCTTATTAGTATGAAGATATAAGTAGTTCTGAAGATTTAGAATACAGTGTCAACCATGCTACTCCAAAGACTTCACACTCCAAGAGATGTGTAAATTCAGCTGAGAGGAATCTGGTAAGTTAATAAGAATAATATAAAGATGTTAAAACACGGGTGTGAAAATTATATGATTTATATCAAATTTCCTTGCTTACGATATTTCTTTTTTAAAAATTTACGAGGTTTCAAAATTGTTTTTATTTTACTTAATTTTTTTACAGTAGCTCCTTCATTTTTAAACACATTTGAATGAAATTTGGTATAGGGATGTTTTTAGGGCAACTAAATATCAGAAAAGTTGTATCAATGCTTGGCTAAAGACTTCTAGGATCAAAATAAAACAATTTAGACTAACTTACCCTATTATAAAGGTCAACGTCTACTGAGATATAACCCTGCCGAATGTATTACTATGTAATAATATTTTTTCTGTGTCTCTCTAAAACTGTTTTGGCTAGAACCTTTTCTTATTGACCACACATTTTTGTTTATTTGAGTATATCTCCTGAATATATTGGAATGTTGAATAAGTTCTCAGTGTTTTTATGATAATTAATGCATTATACTAAAGTACTAAAGTACTAAAAATATGTCATTGAAAGTATCGGCCATTGCTAGCCACTACTTTTTCTCATCTTTTTGGCAGCATTTTAATTCCACGCCGAAAAAACTACATGTCTTTTGAGGCTATCCAAGAGTCGACCAATTTTTGTGTGTTTTCATAAGAGCAAAAGTACTGCTTAGCCAGGCCATGTTCCATCAATCGGAACAAGTGACTTCCCATTTAAGCCTTTCCAAGTAGGTTTTCACAAATTTTGCAATGTGTCTATGCTGCAAAATAATTTATTCGTGTCTCTGCTCGTATAGGGGCTGTTTTTCCTTCAATGCTCGGCGAAGACGTATCCATTGTAGTCAATAGCGATTTCCTGTGATGGTTTCATTTGGTTTGAGCAGCTCATAATAATCTACACCTAGCTGGTTCCACCAAACGCTAAGCAGAAGATTGGAACCATGGATATTCGGCTGTACCGATGATGTTGACGCATGGCCGGGCCTACCCCACGATTTTTTATGCTTCTAGTTACGATACGATGCAAAAAACATTTCCTTTTCTGCCGTTGAAGCAGTTGTTCACACATCCAAAGACGCCGCTTGACTTCTCGTCATTCTTAATGCTTTCAAACGTTTTTAAACTATTGTGTGATCAACTCTTAATGATTCTTCAAGTTCAGCTAGAGTGTGAAATGAGTTTTCATGAAGTAATGCCTCCAATTCTTCATCTTCAAATTGTTTCGGTTCGCCAGAGCGTTCCTTTTCTTCAACATCAAAATAATTATTTTTGAAGCATATAAACCAATCTCAGCAAGTGTGCTTCAACTGCACATTTCTTTTGAATAAAGTAATGTAGTAAAATTCCCTGCAAATACTCTTTTTGGCACATTTTTAAAACTGAACAAAAATAACTAGTTTATACTTTGGCGAAATAACAGTCACTGAATTTCAAGCTTGCTTATAGTGCTTATAGGTAGGTTACCATTTTAAACTACCCGCTTGCAGTTCTGGTAACGGCATCTGCTGGAAATCAGAAAACAGAACTTATTCATTGTCTCTATACAGGGTGGCACAAAAGTATGGAATCCCCTGAATAACTCGTAAGGAGTGCATTTTCTTGAAAAATGATATACACACAAGATTTAGGATTTTTCCCTGTTTATTCAATGGCGCCCTTGCATTCGACCTTGACCTTGACCTTCAAGGTCATCTCAAGGTCAAAATTGATTTTTCAAATGGGAACCCATATTTTTTATTGCGGATTTGGAAAGAGCCGGAAATTTTACGTTCAAGTATGACCTTGACCATATCCTTGACCACGACCTTCAAGGTCACTCCAAGGTCAAAGTTGTTTTGTCAACAGGAACCGCTACTTTTATTGTGGATTTGGAAAGTGCATGAAACTTTACGTTTGAATTGTCCGCCACCTTGGATTAATTCTTGAAAAGATCTTTTTAAAATGGCCTTTACTGGTTCAAAGCCAAAAGCATGGTTAAATCAAATGTACGAATAATGACATACATTTGATTTTTTTGTTTTTCATAGCTTAACAAAAAAAGTTAATGTAAATAAATGTTGACTTTGATATGACCTCGAAGGTCATTGTCAAGGTCGTAGTCGAGGTCGCATTTGAAGATAAAATTTAAGCTCATTGCAAAGGCGCAATAAAAACTAGCGGTTCCTATTGAAAAAAACAACCTTGACCTTGGAATGACCTTGAGACCATGGTGAAGGTTGTAGTTATGGGCATGGTTGAGGTCATAATTTGAACATAAAGTTTCATGCACTTTCCAAATAAAAGAGCGCGGTTCTTGTTGAAAAAACAACTTTGACCTTGGAGTGACCTTGAAGGTCGTGGTCAAGGTTATGGTCAAGGTCATACTTGAACGTAAAATTTCCTGCTCTTTCCATATCCGTAATAAAAAATAGGGGTTCCCATTTGAAAAACAGTTTTGACCTTGAATTGACCTCGAAGGTCAAGATTGAATACAAGGGCGACATTGAATAGCCAGGGAAAAATCCTAAAACTTTTGTATTTATCATTTTTCAAGAAAATGCACTCCTGATGAGTTATTCAGGGGTTTCCATACTTTTGTGCCACCCTGTATGTACATTGTACATATTATGTTATCTAGTGACTCTAATAACATACCTGTTACATTCTAAAACTATTAAATATGTACCAAAATAAACAGTATTTTATATCTACACAATTGATTCTATTTGGTACTAGCAAAGCCTTTTCTAAGGCAATAAAATTTGAGACTTGTGTAGATTTTTACTATATTTTTGTCAAAATATTTATGGAATTTTATATTGGATATATTTCTTTGGGATAAAACTCTATCAGTATGCCATTAAATCTTAAAAATGCTAAATTGTGTCTTAGTGTTTGTTAACCACTCAATTTTTTTTTGATCACCTGTTTATGTTTATATTAAATTAATAAATAAAATTCAGCTTTAAGTGACATTAGGCATTTTCAAAAACTACAGTCTGGGATCAGATGGATTGATGGAATATCATTCTTAAGATTTAATATGTGCAGTATATTTTTTGGATGTAGTAGTTGATTTACATAAAAAAAAGCTTTTTGTATATATTGCGAGCGGTCCATGGTTTCTTCTATTCGAATGAAAATCATAAACAGCATTTTTACACCCAGATTCAAGGATGTAAAACTATTCTAAATTTTAAACTTTAATATTGCGTTTTAAAGAAGTTGAGGTATCTTTTATGACTTGGAATGTATTTTTAGTTTATTTTTTTTATTATTGTGTCGGTTGGCAATATTATAATATGACACGAGCAACTGTTTTTAAGGAGGTTTATCTGATTTGGAATTGACGAACAAATATTCATAAAAAAATTAATATAAGCTTATTAATCCTCAAAAAAAATTATGGCCTAGTTTGGATACCTAAGAGACGAGATATTAATAAAATAATTTTTCACGATTTAGTAGGTACAGAGTTTTATGAGAATGCAGATTTTTTTGGTCTTTCCACTTAGAATGCACAACAATTAACGAACACAGAAACTTGTATAAATAGGAAACTGGTATCTAAGGAATCTTATGATAGCTCGTAGAAATCGATTAGTTACTTGTAAGATGCATAATTTATAATAATTCTCTTTCAAACTGCTGTTGTTGACTAACTTAACTTCCATATGCTTGATAGCGGCAACGCCGCGATTCTCGTAGTAGAATTATTTGAAATTCGCAGATGTGATATGTATGATGTATATTTCAAGCTTAGGCATCCAAACAAAGCCAGCCAAGTGCAACGTTGCCAAATCTAAAGTTTTACTACTTTAGTCACTAGCGAATCTGCAGAAACTCTTGTTAGACTTTAGACGTACATCCGTACCCGATAAATCTCCTTAAATTTATAGCACAAGCAATCGAGGGCCAGACATAAAATTTGAAATTTAACAATTTATGAAAAATTTTATTAACCGTCTTCTTTCAAACACTTTTATATAAGGTAGTTTCCATATGGATTCAGCAAGGAAAAAAAAATTGACCTTTGTTTTTTTTAAACTTTGGAATGTTGATCTACTTTGAATTTTATGAGACCCGCGTTTTTTGTTCGTATTAAAGAGTCTATACTGTATTACCAATAATTGATATAAAAACTAGTAGCATGTGAATTATCTTAATATATTTTTTTTGGAATTTTTACAATTATTTCTGATATTCTCTATTTTTGGGGATGATTCCACCCCCTGAGCGCGTTTAAGGATGGATTTTCTAATTCAACAAGCTTATTTCAGTCACGAGAATAAATCTTTCTTTGTATCAAGAATTATTCGATAGAAAAATTCACATGCTAATAGTTTTTATATTTATTGGTAATGTTCAATTCTTCATTTTGGGCGTCTTTTGAACCCCTAAATAGGGGTGATTTTTGAAAATTTGCAGAAAACTAAAAGCTATGTCCATCTTAATTTTTTACGAGTAATTTGAGACCAAAAACATATTTTTATCTATTTTCTTTAGTTCTCTGCAAATTGTGAAATAACAGGCGGTCACTCTTTTGACGTGGCGTTTCAGAGCTCCAAAAATTTTTTTCGGAAAAACAAAAAAACCAGTGTCATAAAATTCAAACTAGATTAATATCCCAAAGTTTAAAAAAAAGAGGTAATTTTTTTTTGCTTTCTGAATCCATATGGAAACTACCATAAACAAATCCATTTTTGAGTAGGCAAAAATTGATCAGTCTTAATTATATTGCTTTATAGTGTTATTATTTTAGATATTTTAAACAAATGCAAATGATGAAAATAATTTCTTGAGTTAATATCACTTAGTGTTGATTAACAAATGATTAAGTTCTAATCTTCTCTCTGATTTAAAAAACTTATATTTTATTTCTTTCTCCATACTTCCGTTTTATTCAACTATGTTTTAAATTATAGAGGAAAAGAAAGTTGGAGGTTAATAATGGATTTCCAAGCAAAAAAATTCAATCAGAAGTATCTCCCATGTCTATCACCGCCAATAATAGTCAAAGCTCTGCGACAATTTCGCCTTCCCTTCAAGTTGTATCGACAAATACAACTCCTAGCAGTCGAACCCGTGCTGTAATTCCCACAAAGGATAATCCGCCTCCTGAAATGTCTGAATGGTTGGCCCAATTTAGTACTTGGTCAAATGCAGAACGAATTATGGCAATTAACGAATTGATTGCACGCTGTGAACCTACACAAGTTCGTCATATGATGCAAGTAATTGAACCTCAGTTCCAAAGAGATTTTATATCACTGTTACCAAAAGAATTAGCTTTAAATGTTTTATCTTTCCTAGAGCCGAGAGATTTACTTAAGGCAGCACAGACTTGCCATAGTTGGCGTGTTTTAGCTGAAGACAATCTTTTGTGGAAGGAAAAGTGTAGGCATGCGGGAATTGATGAGATTCCTAGAAAAAGGATGTCGTCCAGATCTCCTAGCTCGCATATGTCTCCATGGAAGGTGAGTTAATATGCAGATAATTCACTTTTTTTTGTTTTTAAATTTGTGGAAATTATTTGAAAACGAATGTTATATTATTTTCATTTTGTCAAGGTATTAGTCTGGGATTTCAATGATTTTTTTTGTATACTAAAATTTATTTTTAAATCACAGTCTTTTTGTACATTTTGATACGACTGCCTGAAGTTAGCCCTGTTTTCTGCTGGTTGACATGATATCTCAACTTTGGATCTTCTACAGGGTGATTTACAAACAGTAACCAAAAATGAATCCTCATGTTCTTTGATGAATTTTAAGGGGTCTTTTGTATAACATTTTTATCTTTTATGCTTCGTTAAAAAGATACAGGTTGTTAAACTAAAAAAATTTTTTTTTATTTTTTTACACAATTTAAACACTAGTAAGTGAAATAATTTTTTATAATAATCATGAACAACCAATACACAAATTGATTAAGCAACTCTTCAGGAGTAAGAAAAAATTTTTTTATTCAAATTTTGTTGCAAAATGGCGGCTGTAGGAGCGCAACAAATCAAAATTTTTCAAAGGTCTTCCGCGGCGAGCAGTAGAAGTCCCCTGGATCAGCATTTGGAAGCATAAAAAAATTTTTTTCTTAAACTACATGAGTAGCTAGTTTTTTCGCAAACTGGCGGGACCTTGAACAAAAAATTCGAATTTTCAACAAAGAAATCGATTGATTGTTTATAAAAAAAATCCTATTGGACAATTATAAGAACGTGTGTGCTTCACTAGATAATCACACTTTGAAGTTACAGTTCAAATTTCAAGTCGATCGGATAAGAATTCTTCGAGTTCTGCTGCTTGCCGATTTCAAAAACATGGTTTTGGAAAAAATGCATTTGAACTTTAAGAACGCTGTAACTTTTGGAAATCATGGTTATATGGACCATGTGGATTTTTCAGTCGTATATAATAACGTTTTTTTTTTGCTTGTGATGACAGAAAATTGAAAGATGAAGCCGAAAATATCAGGATTGTTATCGTAAAGTAGTGGCATACTATTTTTTTTAGAAAAATATGCGAGTGATACCCTGTATCTCCGCCACTGAAGCATCTAAATTTTAGAAAAAGGCCTTAAATTTTGGGCAATGTTTACATAAATACATGTTCCCAGTTTCAAATTATTTCACTTATTTTTAAATTATGTAAAAAAATTAAAAATATTTTTTGAAGTTTAACACCCCGTATCTTTTTAACGAAGCGTCCTAGATAAAAACTTTATAGGAAAGATTCCCCTTAAAATTCACCAAAGAAAACGAGGTTTGATTTTTGGTCACCGCTTGTGAATCACCCTGTGTAAACAAAAATTAAACCAAATTAGTATACTATAGACTTGTTGCTATTGTCCGGACCGAAATTATAAACATGCGATAAAAAACAAAATGGCGGACTTTTGAAATTTTCAACCTTTTTTTTTCAACTTAAATTATTTAAAAATAATATTAAATATTAATGCCTGCCTAATTATAAACCCACAGTATTGACAATGGCTTGACACCGCTGGGGCATGATTTCAACAAGATTTTCAGCGTGACTTGTAGGAAGAGCCCGCTAAATCTTTATTACCCTTAAAAACTACTTCAAATATTAAACAGGCTTTCCTACAAACTGGACCTTCATAATGGCCTACATGTTTTTGATAGAATTTGTGTCGGGAGATTGGTGACAATGCCATTTTCCTCCATTCAGCTTCGACAAAGGTGGCTTCGATGCGTCAGGTCATTGAAAACCCAATTTTCAATATTGAGTCCAAACATCTTCTTGTCTGACTTCAAAAGGCCTCGTTTATAAAATTTGGGCATTTTTATCGAATCCAAATTTAGCATGAGGAGCTACAAACACCTTAATTGTGTTTGACGGCACGCTCAATGAAATCATTACTGCTTGCTAACCAGGTAAGCTTTACCCATGCCCAGAAAGTTGTTTCATCTGAGAAAACCACCTTTGTCCAATCACGATCTTTGTTTTTGCTTGTCTAGCTCGGGAGTTTCTGCATGTGGGTTGCGCTAAGCTGGGGTTTCGAGCTTGTAGGACGATATAATTTTGCCTTGTACAAACATCGCCTGATCATGTTTAGGCTGACATAAATTCTCTTCTTGACAAGTTTGACCTTGGCTTCTCACAGGCATAGAGTGGGATGACTTCTAAACAACTGCATAATCACTTTTCTTGTTTGTTGGATGTCGCTCTCCTTTTCCCGCATTCAAGAAGATCATCAACATTTTTTTATTGTGTTGGTTCACCCATTTCTTTTACCCTTTAATTATTTTGGCAGCAGCAGCATATAACAAATAGGTCCTTTAACATGCTCGTACATAGAAGTCATTTTGAAAGACGCTCACTCTCTTGAACATTTCGAGCGACACTAAAATGAATTAGTGATGGTGTCATAGCCCACCGATAGTATAATCGTACCGGGAAAGAAAGATAGAAATATATTTTATTTTACTATTAAATACCTTGCCTCCTTTCCTGTGGAACACACTGTATATCCTGTATGTATAGAATAACCCATGTAAATTTGAACTGATCAGTTCAATACCTTTTTTTTAGAATGTCAGCCAGGTCAAAAAAGATTATTTTGAGAAAAACGTGTTTAAAATTTGTTTCTCTAAAATATACCGTTTTTTCAAAAAAATTGTTTCTTACCTTCAATCAGCAATGCTTGTTCCATATATTACACCTTCAGCTTCTTCAAAAGTATAGTCTTATAATCTCGCATCTGGCATCTGAGATTTGTAAAAAAGGGAATGAAAAGCAGGTATATGCCAACTGCACGTTTGACATGCTAGGTGAGCGCACAGCGCATCCCCACTCTTGTGTCATTTTTCGACCTGTTCTCGAATTTTCCAACCTAAATAATAGTTACTACGGTATTTATATTTATATTTACTACAAGAATCTGCAGTGTTTAGAAAATCGATTATTTGAAAGAAGATCCCAGACTAACAACGCCTTAAAAACAATTTGATACTGTATTCTAATGATTCAGACAACCGCTATGTGCATAAAAACTTATGGTGCGGCTAGTGCCTTAATTTTTGACTTTGCACGATAACAGCATATCATACATATATATACTATATATGTATGATATACTATACTGTATACATACTATCTACGAATAATCTTGTTGGAATATTAAAATAATGGAAATTTAATTAAAATTCTTGATCTATGAAAAACAGCTTTAAAACGAAAACTGTATCAAAAAATGTAACAAGGAAATTATTGTACAGTAAGACCCCGCTTAAGGCTGTTTCGGTTTAGCGCTCTTTTATTTCAACCCGGGGATTCCCCGAAATTGTACGCAGCGCTAGGTTTCCAAATATGTACATAACCTATCTGAAACAGTGTAGTTGTGTTTCTTGTTTGGTACGGTGCTGTACGGACGCATTTTTATCAGTTGATATAACTATAACTGAAATTATGGACCAATTTGTTGAAAATGATCCAAATTTTGACAAGAGTAAAAGCAAGACGGGGTGTTATAGATGCTTTATCCACTTATCAACAACTTCTAACAGAACGCAAAAGGAAAACGCAAACTACGTTAGATGCCTTCTTGACAAAAAGGCAGAAAATTGGAAACACAGAATAGACTGAATGATCTGACTGACTTAGAATTTTATTTGTTTTTATAAGTAATATTCGTTTATATTGTTTTTATTTTTGTAAGAAATAAATATTTGGTTTTATTTTTATTAAAAAAAACATAATTATTAAATTTAATACCTAACCAATTTTCTATCCATCTTCCCCTAACCCCATTATTTACATGTTAAGATAGCCTCGTTTAGCGCTGTTTCGCATTACGCTCTACTTTGATGGAATGTGTCATACGCGTTAAGCGGGGTATTACTGTACATGTTTTGCTTATAAATAACTGTCCAAATACTTATGACATCTAACGAGCCAGAAATGTGAGAAGGCTGTGGACTTTCCGCAAGCCAATTTTTTTTACAAATAGTACCCTGAAAGGAGGTTATATTCTACTAATCATTTTGTTGATGTAACAAAAGCCTGGCCTACTACGATTTTTTAAAAAGGTCGTTTTTCCAGAAAGTGGTTTTAGGCATTTTTTTATAAAAAAGATAATATTACCAGGCTATTCAACACCCATCAAAATACTCGTATACCAAATTTGAACGAGAAATGTCTATTGAGTGTTTTTTTATGTGTTGTCTAATTTTGAAAAATTTAGATAACTAAAAATTATAATAAGCAGGTCAAAGATTGCTATGAAAGTGAAAACAAGTACCAATCGGACAAAGAAAAAATACACAACACTTTTAATTGCGGCCATAGTAAAAATAATAATAATTATTATTATTAGCGTACAAAAAATGTAGGTAATGAATTATAAATATTAAATGTTGTTAAACAAAAAATTACAAAACAATCTAAATTAAATTTTAGATTTCTCGAACTGTGGACTTTTACTTTTGGGGTGTTCCAAAACAAAAAGTTTAGAAAAACAGACCAAGGAATTTGGATGACCTAATGAATTGCATAAGACAAGGTTGTGCAGAGATTATTTCACAATGGTTATGTAAATTATTTTTAAATTTAAGATGATTGGAAAAATGTGTTTGACTGGAAAGAGGTTTGGAGGAGAAAACTAAAACTTAATTTAGATTAACGTTTTGCAATTTATTTGTTTAACAACTTGGTATTTGTAAGTTATTATTTTTATAATTAATTAATAATAATTAATATAATTAAAAGTATTAAATTTATATTGTCTGTATTATTTCTTTGTCCGATTAGTATTTGTTTTCACTTTCATGGCAATCTTTGACCTGCTTATTATAATTTTTAGTTGTATGATTTTTCGAAGTTTGGCACCACATAAAAAAACACTCAATAGACATTTGTCGTTCAAATTTGGTATATGGGTATTTTAGTGGATGTTGAATAGCCTGGTAATATTATCTTTTTACTAAAAAAATGCCTAAAATACTACTTTCTGGAAAAACGACCCTTTTAAAAAATCGTAGTAGGCCAGGCTTTTGTCACATCAATAAAATGATTAGTAAAATATAACCTTCCTTCAGGGTACCATTTGTAAAAAAAATTGGCTTGCGGAAAGTCCACAGCCTTCTTACATTTACAGAGGTGTTAACCTGAAAAGCGGGATACACTATGATTGACAGTGAAGGTTAACAAAATATTAGGAAAAAATCGATAATAATTGCAGTCAAAGTTCAGGAAGAGTTCATGCATGCCTCAAGCACAATTTTCGAATGATCAAATTCAAACTACAATTACGTCCAATACTTAAACTTATCCTGAACTAGTGTAGGATCTCTATCGTGAACAAAGCTGATATTTAAACACCAAAATATAATAATGCAAAAAAAATACATGAGTTGGTTTAGTACTTTCTACCAAATATACTGAGGATCGCAATGTGTTGAAAAAATTGTTTTCAAAAATGGAAATCGACCTTACTTTAATTTTAGTTTAAAATACCAGTGATATTTCACTAGCTTGAATACTATTCTCAAATTTAGAGTTCCAATTAATTACATGCACATAGCGGATTTATTCAATACCAATTATGATTATTTCTATTTCAATTTATAGGCTGCCTATATGAGACAACATGCTATTGAGATGAATTGGAGGACCAAACCCATAAGAGAATTTAAAATGCTGAAGGGACATGACGATCATGTAATAACATGCTTACAGTTTTGTGGTAACCGAATAGTTAGTGGATCTGATGATAATACTCTAAAAGTTTGGTCTGCCACCACAGGAAAGGTAGAATCGGTTTCCTTAATTTATTTATATCGCTCTCTGCTATTATTTTTCTCACATTTGTGTAATTTTTTTGAGGTTATTTTTTAAATTCATGTTTTTTTGTGACAGTGTGCTGAAATATTCATTCAGCATTTGTGTTGGATATTCATAACATAACAAGTCGTCAAACTGATTCTGTAGGCTTTAAACTAAGTCGAAAAATACTTTTTTTTTTCAAATTTTATTTAATTTAATTATATATCCCTGTAGTGCCTGCGTACATTAGTTGGACATACGGGTGGAGTTTGGTCGTCCCAAATGTCTGGGAATACAATAATAAGCGGTAGCACGGACAGAACTTTAAAGGTTTGGGATGCCGATACTGGCATATGTAGACATACCCTTTACGGGCATACTTCTACAGTCAGGTGTATGCATTTACATGGAAAGAAGTAAGTTGAAGTGACATGTTAAAAATGATATTTTTGCTAAATTTCCTTTCTAGAGTGGTTAGTGGATCAAGAGATGCTACACTGAGAGTGTGGGATATCGAAACTGGTAATTTTCTTCATGTCTTGGTAGGGCATTTGGCTGCTGTTCGGTGTGTGCAATATGATGGAAGGTTGGTTGTCTCAGGGGCTTACGATTATATGGTAAAAGTTTGGAATCCAGAAACGGAGGAATGCCTTCATACTTTACAGGGACATACGAATCGAGTTTATTCTCTGCAGGTAATTTTTTTTATTAGTACGAATATAATTTTGATTTGTAAATTAAAAAAGTAAGAAAAATATAATTTTGAGTGAAGCAGGATTCATGTAGTCGCAAATTCGCATAATTTTCGTCCATTTGTAGTAGATCGCCATGCTGTGTTAAAATTCTGCTGGTTAATATTTATCTAACAATGAGTCAGTGGCGGCTCATCCTATGAAGCAACTGAGGCCGGGCCTCACTGTAAAATTTGGCCCTCGCACCGTATATTTTAATATATATTATTTTACTATTAACCTAAAAAAACAGTTAGGTAAACTAATTTCCAATTATTTATTACATTTATCAAAAATTAATATAACTAAAATAATTGTTTGAATATTGAATATCTCACCGCTCGCCCTTTCCAGCGGTGCAGAATTGGATACTGTTACTCCCCACTAGTCCCCACCACAGTGAGTTCAGAATTTCTTTCCTTGTAGGCGCGTCACACTTGTCTACAATATGCTACAGTTCCCCCTCCAGGAGAGGCGATTAAAATAACGTGATTTACGAGAGAACTGAGGCAGGCTCAAAGCTGCTTATAGTTTCAGTTCGCGGTTAATGTATGTGTCGCATAGTACGCGGGTAGTGTCTGATGTCAGTGTGTAGAATAGTACAAAGGCTTTAAGGATAAGGACAAAGCAGGTATTAATTTAAAGTAAATAAAAAACAGCTTCCTTACAACATAACAAAGTAAGACTAAATTTAACGTAATTTAATAGATACCTATTATATTATCAAATACCTACACAGGTAGCTAATAATGAAACTATCTCACAATATAGTTTTATCTCTTGAAATACTGTTTTCAAGATGTAATGACGCAAACTACTACTCTAACCAAATTAAAATCATTAGTCAAAGGATTTCTGAATTAAGAAATTAAGAAAAATTTAAAAATATTTTTAATTATGCGAAAAATATTACTGGACTACCAAGTAAATGGGGCAAAAGTTGCGACGAATTAGAAATATTTTCGAAGTATATTTCCCCTTAATAAAGTACCTATTTGTTTTGGGAATTTACAAGAGTTAATTTTTTTTTGCTTTAATAGATTCCTCAAAGTTTTCCGAATCTGCAAACAAATTCCCCAAAATTTCGTTTGAATGTTCATTACAATTGTATCCAAACGTTTTTGAAATAGATAGGTTGAAAAACAAAGTTAATATTTTGTACAGAGACGAACAATTTTGTAATTTAGAAGTTCAAAAAATGATAGAAATATTATACAAGGTATTTAAAATGGTATTTTCGGAAACATACAAATTGATTTGTCCAGTTGTAACAATTCCTGCAACAAATGTCTTGGTAAAAAGAAACTTTTTGTCTTAAGCGCATTAAGACTTAGAAATACGATCACACAAGAGCGCTTAAACAATTTATCAGTGATGACGATAGAAAAAGAACTATTGCAAAGTCTTAGTGCCGATCCTCAATTTTATAAAGACATTATAAGTAAATTTGCAGATTTAAAAGACGGATGAATTAACCTGTTTTATAAAAACCTTCACTATGTTTTTAAAATATTTTGTTAATAGTGGAGGAATACGAAAAGCTGGCAACGTTGTTAGTTAAGTTAGCTGGCTACCTTATGAAAGTTTGTTTTTATATTTTTTCTAGGGATGGGCACTTGGAAGTGTGTACGGACATGTCCGTTGGACATGTCAATGAAATGTCCGGACATGTCGGGAAAAGTACTTTTGACCTTGAATCTAATAAGGCACCTATGAGTGACGTCATGTTTTCACAGGTCACATATTACTTTTATTCTAATGAATATGTGTCGATATTTTTTACTTATTACTTATCTTTAGACATTTTTATAAACTGGTTTTTAATTTTCCCCGGACAGCCAATACACTTATTTAAATGTTTTTCCATCCTACTGGAATTCTTCAAAATTGTATTTGGACAGAAGTTACATTTATAATGATTTTTACTCAATTCAGAAAAATATAACCAAACTGTTGATTTTGGCGTCATACTTCATTTATAAACTATTTGTGTACTAAATATTAAATTAAGAATCAACTGATTACTAATATTTATTTACTAATCGTTAACTTTGCCAAAAATAATAAAATATGGACATATAAAAGAGGTTAGATTTTTAAAATGTCAGTTTCAGTAAAAATATTACCAACAAAATTACAATAAAGTGGATAAATTTCTTTAATTTTACATGTACCAACCTCAAAAAATTTTTGCGGGAATAGTTATAAATGCAACAAATAATTCCGCGTATGCGCATACAACTTTTCAATCTTGAAAGGTGTCCTCAGGACATGTCCACTTTTCACGACATGTCCGATGGACGAGTCCAGCTCACATGTCCATGGCACATCTCAATTTTTTTCATATTTTTTAATATTCTAATAAACCAAATGGGAACAATTTTGTTAATTATTAGGAAAACATATCACTTTGTTTTTTTTCCTGTTACTTAATTTTATTGTAAATACAATTTTTAAAGTTCTGATACTATTATTAAGGAGGTTTATCTGGTACGTCTAGAGTCAAATGAGAGTTTCTGTAGATTCGCTAATGACTAAAGTAGTAAGCCTTTAGATTTGGCAACGTTGCACTTGTTCATTCTGTTTGTTTGGATGGCTAAGCTTGAAATATACATCATATGTCACACATGCGAATTTCAAATAATGCGCTACGTCGAGAACCGCTGCGTTGCCGCTGTCACTCATAATGGAGGTTAAGTTAGTCAACGACAGCAGTTTGAAGGAGAATTATTATAAATTGTGTATTTTACAAGTACCTAATCGATTTCTACGAGCTGTTTGTCAATTGTTCCGCATTCTAAGTGGAAAGACAAAAAAATCTGCATTCTCATAAGATTCCGTAATAAATCGTGAAAAATTATTTTATTAATATCTCGTCTCTTAGGTTTCATATTAATAAGCTTATATTAATTTTTTTATGAATATTTTTTTGTCAATTCCATATCAGATAAACCTCTTTAATAATATAATTTTTTTAATTTATAGTTATAGTAGGGCTATTGGCCAAAGATTTCCATAATAAAAAATGACGTGGGAATTTATTCCTATATATTATTTGAGTGCGGATTAATAAAATATCCAAAAAGTTGCTTATTATTTTTTATAAAATCAGAATGAAAATCCTGCTCGTGAACATCAGTTTTTCAGTGATATTGTAAATGCAACTAACAATTTTCAGATGCATTTAGTCGTTTGACTGAAAATTTAAAAATTTTTGCCTGCAGCACTTTTTTTCTTTCTTGCCCACCTAGTAAAAAGCCACGGGCCTCACCTATTCACAAGGTCACGAGCCGCTACTGCAATTAGTATGTTTAATATTTGTGAATTTTGCTTTTACAGAATAAAGTTGTTTTCCTGTGATTACGAAGTAAAAGGTTTGAGATATTTGTTGAGCTCCTTTCAAAGTGGAGATCCAAATATCCGTGATTACATAATTATTATCAGAATGAGGAAACATTAATAGTTAGTTGTTTTTTACAATATTTTCTATATTTTTCCTTGAAATAATGATAGATTTTAAAATTTCTAGTTTGACGGTGTACATGTAGTTAGCGGATCCCTTGACACTAGCATCCGGGTTTGGGAGGTCGAAACAGGAGCGTGCAAACATACGCTAATGGGCCATCAATCTCTTACATCGGGAATGGAACTAAGAAATAACATCTTGGTGTCGGGGAATGCCGATTCGACGGTCAAGGTTTGGGATATAGTGACTGGACAGTGTCTGCAAACACTCTCAGGTAAAATAAAAATATTAACAAGAGCTCAAAAAAGAATGCTATGGTTTATGATTATGAATTAAACTAGATTATACGAAAGAAGTTTCTAAGTATTTCCAGTATCATTATTTTACAAGAATATAAGTAACTACATTGTAGTCAATGGAATCTCTATACATTATATAGGGTCATACTTTAAGGCAGGGATCCCCAACAAAAAAAAAAAAAATGACACCAATGGGAACATGTTTAACACGTTGACTGCGGTACATACCTCAGGGGGTATGTACTTATCATAAAAAATATTCGAATCTCAATAATCACATTTTTACTGTATCTTGTGGAAGTTGCAGAATCTGTAGTTTTTAGAAATAATGATTTTTCTATTATTTCCTTTTCAAAACTTTTTGCGAATGAAAACGTTAGTATCCTAGGATATATAGTTACAGATACATGCAAGTTTATAGCAATAATTGTGTTATTTTTAATTTTATAGGGTCAAGTGTAAAAAAAATTACATATCCCCAGGGATATGTACCGCACACAGAAGAAGTTTTGTTACATATCCCCGAAGATATGTATCGCAGTCACGGACGAAGTACATAGAGATTATCTCGCAGTCAACGTGTTAACAGGTCCACGCAGTCACCGACTTACCGATATGACAATGATGATAATAGGTGGTGCCATCTGACAACCGACGTGCCTATCGTAAAGTTCGACTTTTTGTCGGAATACTTACTTAGAACGTTTTGACGTACGGGCGCTATTTGTGTTGTTTACAGAGACTTGAAACATTCGTCATGGCAAAAAATTGGTTTAAGTCGTGAATATTTCCGTGTGATTATTTTTTACAAATTTCGATGTGGATCTCAGCAGCAGTGCATCATTGAACTTAATTCGAGTTTTGGCGATGAATCATCATCAAAAACCACTGTATATCGGTGGTATACGGATTTCAATCGTGGCTGTGGTTTGCTCACTAACGAATTTCGTGGAGGTCATCCAAAATCGGTTGTTGTTCCAGAAAACATTGATGCTGTGCGTGAACTGATATTGTAAGATCATGGTGTGAGTTATCATGAGATTGTACAGAATCAAGAAACCTAAACCAAAGAGTAAGGATTATAAAGAGAAGACAGTCCATTCATAATTTAATATTACAACCGTTGACCTTGGATTAAAAGTCCCTTTAAATTGAACTTTTGCGCGGTTGCCATATTTTTAGCAAAATAATGTGTATACCCCACTAATGTTAATGCAGCGATGCCACAACTTACAGAAATTCCCTAATTTGTATACTAACATAATAGGTAAAACACGTAACGATTATAGTATATCTACATCGTCTTTTTGAGGTTTATAGTGACGGTTTGAAACATCAGTAATGAGAGAGTAAAAATAAAATTAAATAAACCCATTTTTCATAAAATTGTTTGTTTTGAGTATGTATTTAAGTACAGAAAATGATAATAATAAAGTGTTACAAAATATATAAATAATTTTTCATTGGAAATTATCCCCAAGAAGTGGTTCGGATTCCACTATAAGCTGTAGGTCCCTGTCCCCTTAACACGCATAAGTCTATTTGACTTCTGGAAGTTACCTATGTTGTGACGTGGGAGGCGGAAATAGACAAATTTTAGACAAAATTTTTAGATAAATTATATAAAGAAAAAGAGATGATAATCAAGTCTTTAGCGTAGTGTAGGTATTTTTCTCCAAAATTCATATTTTTCAGATTGTGATAAAATACCCATCATTTACTGAACATGCAGAGCTAAGTTGATTTTACAAGAATAATAATACTCTATTACAGTGAATAATATTCACAATTATTATGAAACTTAGGTCAGAGTAAAAAGTGGAAAGCAATCAATAATGGTTTTAATATAAAAACATAAATACAGTTCGGTTGGGTTAGGTTAGGTATATGGTATTATAACAAATTTTTACGATTTTCTTCTTACAAATGCTTATGAACTTACGATTTTGCAAAAAAAAACTTGTTTCATCCACATACTTTGTTTCATCTACTGGCACTCTAAAAAACTTTATATTTGTATTAACACTTTGTCTGTTCTTGCAGTTTTTATAAATACAATATTTTCCACCACTTCACTTTTCGCTACTCTCTTTACTTTTTATTCCTTCCATTTTATTTTTTTACTGGAAATAGGAAATAATATGATATTTCACAACACTTCTGTAAACGTAAACAAGCATTACACACACATTCACAGTAAAATGGCAGCAATACCAAAACTTTCGGGCGGCTGTGTTTGTATACGCATGACGTAGTGAGCTTTGTACGCCGATGTTTGTCGACCTTTACCCGAAATGTTTGATCTTACACTGGTTGGACGTCCCTTTAAATTGGACTTATTTACTTTATCTCTCTCTGATTTACTTTCTCTTTCTATCTGTCTCCTCTTTATAATCTTTATGGCCGGTCCTCATGTACAATAATTTAGTGCGGAACTGCGGAGATGCGGAATCACGTGATCACATTATCTAAAAAATATTGGATGCACAGCAGCCATTTTGAAAAAGTGACAGATCCGCATGCGTTCCGGATAAAAGTTGACTAGGTTCAACTTTTTCCGTATTCCGGTGTTTACTTTTGTGCTCGTGTGACATTTATCGGCCATTTGTACTTGTTTATATTCTGAAAACGTGTTTGATTAGTTTGTTTTTTATCTATTTCGTCTATAATTAATTATCAGCCAAGAAAATATCTCTCACCCACATTTTTTATGTTTTTTTTTGAAACTCCAGAATAGAATTGTATATCTTATACATTTTTATCAATCTTTCACGGTAACATTTTTTATACCTCAAAGCACAGTCTCTGTATTGTTTCATTGAAACAGCAAGAGCCAAGAAAGCTGTATCTTCATCAAAGTTTTCCATTGTAAATATATTTCACATGAAGATTAATAGATAATTATTTGAAATACCTCAATGAAAATACTCGAAAAGAAACCGGTACAAATTTCTAGGTTATCCGCATCTACTATTTTTGACATTTGCATTTGGACGGTAGTTTGAAAATTGCGGAGATTCGCAGTTACGCATCTCCGCAGTTCCACAGTAAATAATTGTACATGAGGACCGGCTATTACTCTGCCTAAACTACAAAATTAATATGAAACATACAGGGTGATGAGTAAAAACGGGACACACCAAATATGACATTTTTTAAATTGAACACTATATTTTTAAACATATGAATTTCTGTGAAAATTTGTTATATGGCAATATAAACAGTTTATCATTTTAGTGCGGGGTTGCCAAGTTATGTAAAAAATTCTTTGAATTTTGGAAAAAACGACCTTGAAGGAGTTGTATTAACTCAGCTACTAACACTTGGAACAAAATAATTAGACAAAGTTATAGGTAAATGTTAGACAAAGGTTCCTATATTAGCTAATATCGATATTTTATACAGTACATTTTTTATAATACGATCATTTTTAGAAAGTTTAAACTTGATTTTCTAAAATTTTTCAAATGGAACACCCTGTATTTTATTGTTCTATTTTATTCACATATCGGTTCACTTCTACTTTTATTAAGCATCTTCTATATCTAAAATTTATAGTTTTTAAGATATAGCAACATTTTTGAAAAAACTAATTTTTATTATTTTATAGAATACCACAAATAAATATTAAATAATAAAATTAAGTCAAAATGGAATGATAAATTATGAATTGACAAATTTATACACAATGTGACAATTTTTTCCAAAGCTATTTTGTGCGATCGAAAATAATAAAAATTAGGTTTTTCCAGAAATGTTGCCATATCTTAAAAACTAACAACTTTAGGTGTAGAACATACTTCATAAAAGTTTAAGTAGACTGATATGTGAATAAAATAGAACAATAAAATACAGGGTGTTCCATTTGAAAAATTTTAGAAAATCAAGTTTGAACTTTCTAAAAATGATCGAATTATAAAAAATGCCCTGTATAAAATATCGATATTAGCGGATATCGATAGGAGTCTTTGTTTAACATTTGCCTATAACTCTGTCAAATATTTTTGCTCTAAATGTTAGTAGTTGAAAATTAATACAACTTCTTCGAGGTCATGTTTTTTCCAAAATTCGAAGAATTTTCTACATAACTTGGCAAGTCCACATTAAAATGTTAAACTGTGTATATTGCCTAATATAGAATTTTCACAGAAATCCATATGTTTAAAAATACAAAGGGTGTTCCATTTAAAAATTGTAATATTTGGTGTGTTCCGTTTTTACTAATAGCCCTGTATGTTTCAAATTAATTATGTCCTTTAGGTTTTTTGATTCTTTACAACTTTTATATAAACTTTTTTTCTGTATTATGAATAATAAGGCAGTTATTTTACTTTCTCACACTAATGGCCCACCCTGTATAATTTGTGTAACAAGTGTATTTAGTTTCAAGCGAGAGTTTTTCTTATATTTTTCCATTCCATAATTTTTTTGAGATTTGCTTCTTTTTTATTTTCAGGTCCGTACAAACATCAGTCAGCCGTAACTTGCCTACAATTTAACAATCGCTTTGTGATAACGTCTTCAGACGACGGTACAGTTAAACTGTGGGACGTACGTACCGGTGAATTTATTAGGAATTTGGTGGCTTTGGATAGTGGCGGTTCCGGAGGTGTGGTATGGCGTATAAGGGCCAATGATACTAAATTAGTTTGTGCAGTGGGTAGTAGAAATGGTACCGAGGAGACCAAACTTTTAGTGTTAGACTTTGATATCGACTCAAATTGTAGTTCTAGCATTTCTAGGTAATTACGGACTCAAAAAATTCAGTGTGATTGTGGGTGTGTTTTTAGACATTACATTTATCATTTATATACCAGTGATGTTATTTTCGTTCGATAATAAAAAGTGATATTTTTCTTCCGCATTTACACTTATTTGTTCCCCGTAAAAATTTCTTACTAATTTCAGATCTTTCAATAACTAAGAACTGTGATATTTTTGGCAAGTCTTGAACAAACGTGTTGTTTTTACCAAAAGCCGTAATACATAACATCATTTGTATAAAAAGTGATAGATGTATACATACTAGTAACGAAAACTTTCTAAAAGTCCTACTATAATAAATCTGGTGCTTTCATATGTTTTAATTTTATTTGTAGTCGGTCGTTTTCTAGTACAAATTATCTGTTATCACTTTGGGCGAGTGTCGGAACTGGTATGGTTTAATATTTTTCAAGTACAAAATGATTTATCAATTTTTAGATTTTTCCATACCTGCTGTTCTTTTAGGAATGCATCCGATAAAATTTGAAGTACATTGTGGCTCGTTAAAAATCAGGTCGGCTGATATTTTTAGGGTTTTTTGGAATTATTTTATAAAAAATTTGGCAACATTGGTTTTTTAAACTACACATTTATAATTATTAATTATTACATTTATTACTTTTATTTATTATAACGGTTTGTCTAAATATGAATTAATGCACAAATAACAGACTTTCCCCCATTTTAAGGCAGATTTTCTATAAAATGGAGTTAGTTTGAAACTCGCCTTACTTTTTGGTGTAAAGAAAGGACCCCACACTTTTCTTATGGGAAGTGGGTTTCGGTCAATTTTTTTGTAACTTCGCAGTTTGATAGTTCTTAACATGTAGACCAAAAGTCTCGATGGGCACAAAGCCCCAAATCCACCCCTTCCCCCCCAAAAACTGCCTCCAAGTAGCGGGGGCGATTTAACGGATTTCTGCATGTAAAACAATTTATTTTTTTAATCAACCGAACAACCACATTATTGATTATCAAACTGCCCCACTTGACCCCACCCCTCACCCCCTCTCCCCCGCCCCTTACGAATCGGCCTACGGATTTTCCAGATTACTGTATTTTATAGTTGCACCTATTTTTTACATGTATATTTGCACGTATATTTTTTGCACGTATTTTTTCACACTGAATTCGAATCTGCAACTCAATTTTACGAAATCGGGTCAGGAAAATTGTTATTAACAATTTAATTGTTTATATAGCTGTAGAAAGTTATTTGTGATTTTATGAAAAAATATTTCACGTAAGTTATTTATTTTGACTAAATCTAAAAAAAAAGTTTTTGTGATTTTTTCGAAAAAGTAATATTCAAGCTGTAAAACGTTGTTAAACTTAACACACGTGTATATCTACAGCTATCATACGTATACTGTGTTAAACTTTGGTGACGTTTTAAAGCTAAAACATTGATTTATCGAAAAAAACACAAGAATAGTTTTTTTAGATTTCATTGAAACAAACAAACTTTTATTTGAAATTTTTTTTCATAAAACGACAAGTAAACTCCTCGCTACTTGGAGGCAGTTTTTTTGGGGGGAGGGGTGGATTTGGTTTTGTGCCCATTGAGACTTTTGATCTACATATTAAGAACTATCAACCTGCGAAGTTTAAAAAACAATTGGCCGAAACCCACTTCCCATAAGAAAAGTGCGGGGTCCTTTGTAATCTACGATGCCGTTTGTTCAAAAGTGGCAAATTACAAATTTCTTTACAATAAAATGTAATTTGAGTTTCAAACTAACTCCATTTTATAGAAAATCTGCGTTACAATGGAAGAAAGTCTGTTATTTGTGCATTAATTCATATTTAGACAAACTAATAAAATCTATAAAAATGTATTACTGGTTGTCTATTTGCTATAGAGCCCTTTTAAGCAACATTTTTCCTCTTTGTGAGGCACTCTCTTAGTTCTGAAGGCATCGATTGTGCTGCCCTCTAGCCTCAAACGGCCTAACTTCCTCTAAAACCAATGTTGGCATTACAGTAATCTCCAGTGTCTGACATTTCATCATTTTATATTGCAAAATAGGTCAAGCAGGCTTGAAGTTTTAAATTTATTGAGTTTCTGTTTCATTAAAAAAAAACTGGGAATTGAAAGTGCCTGGAAATAATTAAAAATTAACCAGTTACAGACCCTGATAATCGATAAATGGACTGTACGCAGTCCGGCCGTTAAGTTTTAAGACTGATTTTATTGTAGTGACATATGTGGCGCTATCTATGTGCGGTCAACGGAACTACTTAGTGGGAAGCCTTCCGAGCGACAGAACAAAATTTCATCAGTATATGTGTATCTACCACGAAATTATAACATTTTGCCTGATGCGACTTTTTGTTAGTTGCCATGGAAATGCACATTGAACAGCTTACAGCAATCATGTTCTGTTTTAAAGCCAGTAAAACAGCCACAGAAACATATGAACTGCTACTGACGGTGTACGGTACATCCGACTGTGTGCCTGTGGTTCGGGAGGTTTCGTGATTGCCCAGACAGTGTACACAATGACGAGAGGACAGGGCGTTCCCGCTCAAGCCGAGTGAACGAAAACATTGAAAATGTGCGCTTTAACTGTGTATAATTGATCGATAACACAGGCCGACCATATTCAGAATTAGAAACCGGACCTAGTGTACCCGAAGGATTTTGGTGCGCTGATTATGAATCCGAGTCAGAATTGGCCCATCACCCTAGGTTCTCGAGGTATTCTAACCTAAAAGTGCAAAAAATCGAGGTTTTTTGCTATATTCGGTGTCAGATTACAACATGAATAATTTTTTTTTCTAGAATCACGTTAAACCATCTCAAAGTAACACTCTTACTCTTCTAAGCGCACTTCCATTTTTTTGAAAATCTTTTTTTTTTCCAAAGATAGATTGAAGTTTAGTACTTTGGCGATTTCGTTATATGGAAATAAACAAAATTGAACCAAAAACGAGATATAAAGTACTTAAGTATGTTTCTTGTGTCGCTGAATTTGAAAACACTGGCAGACCTGCTCCATAACCTCAATATTTCAAGATTTTCTAACCTAAAATTGCGAAAACTAAATGAAGCTAAACCAATGACAGGTAAACCTAAATGTGCAATAACCAGCGCACTAAGGTTAACCTCTAGTGAGTTCAGCACTCGCAGGTTACTGCGCATTTAGGTTAACCTGTCGTGATTTTAGCCCTCGCTGGTTATTGCGTATTTTGGGTTACCTATCGTGGGTTTAGCGTCGCAGGTTATCGCTTACTTAGGTTTACCTGTTGCGGGTTTAGCGCTTGCAGGTTATTGCGTATTTAGGTTAACATGTCGTGGGTTTAACCCTCGCTGGTTATTGCGCATTTAGGTTAACGTGTCGTAGGTTATAGCGTATTATGACGAACATGTCATGAGCTTAGTATCCGAATGTAACAGCATGTATACATAAGTATCTGCTTCATTCAGTAGAGTTTTCACAATTTTAGGTTAGAAAATCCTGAAATTAGGCAATCCAACGACCTGTCAAATTTTTAAGCAATATGGCGCTGATGGCAAACAAGTTATGTTTACATTGAGAATGCATTGAAGTTAGTCCAGAAGTTTTTAGTTAAAAGCGTTTAATCCAAGTTTGTTGTAAGGAATTATTCATGTATTTTATTTAAGGAAGTGTTCAACTTGTCTTTTATTGAATTGTGTCACAACGATATGTATTACTAATGCCGGTAACATGCATATTAGTGGATTGTGGAAGTCGTGGAAATCGAGACCAAGTTAGCTTTCATTGTTTACCTGACGTAGTGTGAACTGTAAATATTTTCCTCATTTAAATGATTTATTGAGAAAACAACGCCAAACATGGATATATAAAAGAAGAAAATTACTAGAAAATACAAGCGAAAATAGAATGGAATTATACTTTTTAAAAATCAAGAAAAATTTGTTAGGTACTCTCAAGAATTTTTACAATGATATCAATACATTCCAATTCCTTAATTTATGTATTTTGCATTATAATGCCAACGTTACATTAATATCCTTATATTAGCTTCTTTAAATAATCACTGCATATTGATTGGTAATAACAAAGACACCTAACTACAATCCACGAAACACTCATTATACAGTCAAAGTTCAAAAAAACAAAGCCAAGCCAACAGAAAAATGCAAACTCTTAACAAAATACGCATAAGTTTATATGAATCAAACAAATGTTTGCCCTCGACGCCATATTGAATTCCAATTTTGTCACGTGGTTTGGATTGCCTAATATTGAGATTATGGAGCAGGTCCGCCGGTGTTTTCAAATTCAGCGACTCAAGAAACATGTAAGTACTTTTATATCTCGTTTTTGGATAAATTTTGTGTAAATGTTGTAATGAAATCACTGATGTACTAAACTTCAATCTATCATGTCTCTATTTTCAAAAAATCAAATTGCGCTTAGAAGGGTAAGAGTGGTACTTTGAGATGGTTTAACACGGTTTTAGAAAAAAAAAATTATTTACGTTGTAATCTGACACCAAATATAGCGAAAAACCGTGATTTTTGCACTTTTAGGTTAGAATATCTCGAGAACCTAGGGTGATGGGCCATTTCTGAGCTCGGATTCATAATCAGTGAACCATAATCCTTTGGGTACACTAGATCCGGTCTCTGGTTTTGGACTTTCGTAAAATCTTGTCGGCCTGTGTAATCGACTTCAATGCAGAGCACACAGTTGGTACGTTTCCGTGGCTGTTTTACCGACTTTAAAACAGAACTTGATTGCTATATGCTGTTCAAAGTGCGTTTCCATGACAACTATCAAAAAGTCGCTTCAGGCAAAATGTTATAACTTCGTAACTGATCAAATTTTGTTTTGTTACTTGAAAGGCTTCCTACTACGTAGTTCTATTGACCGCACATAGATAGCGCCACACACTTTGCCGCAATAAAATCAGTCTTAAAACTTAATACCCGGACTGTGTATTAATAAATTATTTTTGCAATTTTGGGTACTAGAAATGCAATTAGTGTCTACAATTTTAGAACTAAATTATAAGCAGGCTATGTTTTTTACCGATTTTAACCAGCAGTGTCAGTAATTGGTTAAACTTGTATCATCCTCAGGCTTTTCAATGCCCTCTTGATTTT